ATTGTCGGTGTGGTTATTGTATAGCGAGATATTACATTGGCACTCTTTATAGCACAATGGTGTTAATGGAAATTTGCATTATTATGAAATAAAAACAGGTTACCGATTCTACCAATGGATAGCTAAAATACGGTGGTAGGACTCGAGGTCGCTGGAAATCGAGGGCTGATTGCCGCAAAGGACGAGTTCTATTAAAAAAAAAGGTTATTGTGGCTTTTGAAGAATACGTCATCACCTTTTCCAATGTATAGCAGATATGTGCGTTTGATAACTACAGGCCTGATGAAGCTGTTAAGAGGCAAATTATCTCGGACATTAAGAGGCAACTAACCATGGAAAAGGGCACTATCTTATTTGAGAAGGCTGAATGTCGGGACGATTGGTGGGCGGCATGATAATGATAGGTAGATCCAGCCAAGAAGGAGCGCCCGTCTGGGTGATATTCGGCCAAGGCTGCCCCGCTTTTGTACTTGTCAATCTCCACAACACGAGATCCGGGCAAGGGTGTGCCCAGTAAAAGAAATACCTTGTTGAACTCTATGCAGAACACTGTTCAGGGCAGCAAAGGCCCAGAAAAAAATACAAAAATGCATTAATGCAAAAAAATGAAAAAGAACTGTTGAAGGACTGCAAAGAGAATGGATACGAGGCAGGTCTTCAAGTGGAACAACTAGCAAGTCGTATCACATGGCTGACCATTGCACAATGTATCTTAACTGCACGTAAACAGTGCACATTGTAAGAATTACCGACAGAATCTTTAGATATGGGAGCAGTAGTAATGGTGATCGATTTCAATAATATAGATATCAAAACCCAACATATTAGGCACGTCCACGATTGAAATGATTGCCAGGGGCGGGAAAATAAACCATCAACTAACTGTAAAATCTAAGTGACTAATAACCAAAAATATTTGTAGTAAAAGTTGGGGGATCCGTTTTGGGACGCAAAATGTTAGCGAAACCTCGTATTCAAGTTGACTCAATATAGGCCTTTTTTGTTAAATCTGTGAGTAAAGTATAAGTAATACACAAGGCTTTTTTTAGCATTATTAAAAGAGTTCCGACATACAGTACGATTAAAAAAGGAAGTAATACCTAGTATAACATAAGAACAGAAGATGAGCGTTAGAAGCTTGCGAACTGTTTAAACAAGAAATCGATAAACTTAGGGATCGTAATACAAGTACGACCATTTGGCTAGGAACAACTTTAAAATAACGCTAACACTGAATATATTTACATAAATCTTGATTACATATTTCATTCATTTAACGTATTTAATTATGTAGCATCAATAGGGCCGTTTTTTTTGGCTTTTATCATGGCAGTTATTTGGTGTATCCAGTTTTTGGTCCTTTTTAGCCCTTTGGCCTTTACGTCCTTCAACAGAATTGTAATCTGTGATAAGGCACATATTTGCGTAAACGATGTACGAAGAAGTGCTGAATGAAGAAGGACTGAGAACCTCTGAGCCATTTACGAAAGGTATTATTTACATGGCATAATGCCTCTGTCTAGTGCAGCATGTAGGTTAGAAGCATCGTTCGCGCCCTTTTTTTGACAAAATTGTTAAGCAAGAGATAACCTCAGGCTTTCTCATACCACAAATGGTTGAAAAAGGTCTGAAAAACATGCAGTTTATTTCAACAGGATGGCCCACCTCTTCACCTAACTAACAACGCCATCACATTAATAAAAGGTTTATTTTTGTGAGCGGCTGGTCTCCAAGAGGGTTCACGTCAAATGGCCCCAAATTATGTGATGTAACTTCCCTTGGCTTTTGTTCATGGGGTGCTTAAAACGCAGAATGCACCATCTACGAAGGAGGGGAAAACTTCAATAAAATAACCATGTCGCCAGTATAAAGATATGCCTCTTATATACTCAATCCAGTACAATAGGATTACTCTACGGGAAACAAAAAGATATAAGCATATGAGTTTGCAATAGAGAGGTGCAATGAATTTACAGTAACTTTTCGGAAGTGAAATATTGTTATTATTACTGTTTCTATTATTATTTGAATATTCAACAAGCAGCCTCGACTAAATATATTTTCCATAAACTGTCATGAATACCGACAATGTCTAACGAGTATTACACAGAGGAAGCCAATATATTTAATGCAACATTATTATCAGTAGAAGTGAGGCCTTTTTCAACTTCAAGCCTTAAGGTTGAAAAGAAACAGCATGAACTACAGTTAATGATGACGAGTTAAAATTGGTAAACAAATAGGTACGACAGTTAGAGCGTAATGGACATCGATAATTTATGAATTGTCAATGATCACTGGCGTATTACAGAGGATAGACAAAGTCATATTACCATGAATAGCATATGATGACAAACACATCGAAACTGTGCGAACGAATGGTCTGACATATTGTGATGTAGGTTCAAGTCCGGGCATAGACACACTTCGTTTTGTCCTGGGAGCCAGTCTGATGAAAGGTATAACGGCAATGGACAACAAGATATATATAAACCAGTATAGATTTTGTGCACAATATGATCAGAGAGCTGTTATTAATACAGCGTTAATAGAAATATTGGATCTCATCATGACGAAGGACGCTCATAAGTAGATTATCAATATTTTAGAATCGGAATATCGATTTGGTCTGAAATAGAATCGGTGTTGGAAGCAAATACAAGCCACATAATGAGAAAGTTGCATAAAAAGTTTTGTCTTACGGATAGTACGGTGGTGCGTATCAAGTGCTAATGTAGATCCGTTCCCGAGTGGGAGGTCTTGTCAATTATTGCAAGGGTGTAAAGTCGACCAGTTTCGCGCATCAATATGCCATTTTAACCTAATGGTTAGGTAGAGCGATTCAATCGTACGTTAGGCTGATTCTTATTAATAAACGTGTAATTTAAATGGTGGGAGTAGAAATAGATTAGTAAAAGCAAACGATCAACAGAAAGAAGCAACAGCACCGTTAAGCAAGTAGTTAATGTGTAGGACTAGTAGGCCTTCGGACAATGTGCGGCCGACACCGGAAACAGTATAGAAATGGAAAGAACACTAACGATGTGAACGAAGAAGAGTCTATCTTTAATTGATTCAAATGAACGCACTGTTCACTGATCCGTCAGTAAAAGTCTCGTCGCCTCTGCAAGTAAGACGGTCAAATCGCTGGGCTCCAGTTTTTTTTATATACAGATTTAAATACGGAGGGGAGAATGTAGCGTAATAGTATAATGAGCGGGTGACGCCGGTATGCGCATGCACGACGTGTAGGTGTAAGATTTGTATGACAGCAGCATGTGTACAAAAAATAATAACGTTGAGTATAATCCCTCCGTTGGCTATATAGAAGATGTAATAAATGAAGGCGTATCTCAAGGAAGATCTTAAAAAATAAGGAAAGCCTAGTAGACTTAAAATCATGACAGGGAATAGCAACGCATACAAATTTTTGGTAAGTCTTCTGGCGCGACGGTGTAACTCGTTTTATGAACTACCAAGAAAAACTGCCCGACGGACAGCACGGACTTCACAAGGAACGATTTACCAAGTTAGCATGCAGACAGGAGAACGTCTATACCGTGTTGACTTCCGGACTGCTTTCGACTCAAGATTACGAATACGAGTACTCGAAAGACTGTCTAGGAACTTTAGCAAAGGTTTTGGATACACTGAGGCATACTACCGACCAATGCGAGAGCAATCATTGGCCTGGTGGCAAGATGTGAGTCCTTCCTACGGACAAATGGCTTCGCCCGAACCGACATCCTCGATTCTCAACTGTTTACTATTCTCATGGCCGACTCACCGCAACGGATAGAGAGTAGATACCCTTTACTAAAAGCCATAATGCAGCAGACTCTCTCGCTATACGCAGCAACAATGGTGGCTTTCACGTCCTGCAAGCTCGCACGATTTTCGTTATCTGTGTTCCGACATAGAATTGAAAATTTACACATAAAGGAGAGCAAGGTAAAATTCTGACGTGAACAACAATGGGCCGAATAATGCATATTTTGACCAAGGAACAAATTCTAGAGTACGCAAGTGTGCGTACCTGGGCGTCACGTTGACAACAAATGCAAAATTGCTTGGAACACGTACGAAAGAGGGTACGCAAGGCAGTGACCTTGATTAACAACCCGCGCAGCTCTCCACTAAAGACTACATTGGAGCCCCTTGAGATGGAGGTAACACTGACACTGAAAGCAAAAATTACACATCGCAATGAGTAGAAAGATATGCAACACATGGAAACAGAAACAACACAATCTAAACGACATGATGTGTTCATGCATATTTTAATCGTTTTATTGTGCTCCTGATATCATACAAATAAGTGTAATGCAATGTCGTTACCTCTGATACGACTGGTGACAATTTGTTAGACATTTTAGGCCTTGGCGTGCTTAAAGCCAACTTGTACATTTTTGTTTGTACATTTGAACTCTACCTTATTTAGAGTGAAAATAAAAAATTCTGATGGAACGAAGAGGGTCTTTTTAGTAAGGTGGTCGTCCGTGCGGTCGTTGTGCGGCAAGATACTACTTTTTTGAAGTAAAGAATGATTACACACTTCTTACATAATCAGTAATCTCATGAGTATTCTGTCGGAATTCATTAATCACAGTAGGATACCTCAGTACAGGTATAGTCTGCACTAGCAGGTAACGCCTGCGCGCTACAGCGAAGAAGTTATTCCGAAACATTTTTAAAATTTTATTCCCTGCCAACCTTAGAAACAATGTCACCAAGATTATCGTTATTGTTGAATGAGAAAAGCTGAACTTTTCCGATATCGAAGGATGCCATGTATTAACCAATTTTTTTCTCCAAGGTTTAGTTGAATAAATTTGGCAACTTGCGACAAACGTTACTGCAAAATAGCTCTGTTATTGCTTTATAACAGCTCTGTTAACGGAGCAAGTCATGAGGCAAAGGTGAGATAAAAATAAGGATTTTTTTTTTATTAATATTGACAAAAAACCAAAGAAATTAAAAAAAAACATAACGTTTAATATTTCAATATGTATTGCTATCGTTCTTGCCATTAAGCATAGAAATCGCTGTTGTAGACCCGTAGCTGAAGTACTACGATAAATACATTTCTAGACGAGCTATTGCAATAATAATTGTATGTATGCGGCACCGAACCGCAACTAATGGGGGAAATATCGACTTTAATTAAAAACAAGGTCAAAGCATTTTTTAGCTAAATTCAATGACCTGGAAAATACAATAGGATGCATGATTTTTTTTATTCTGAGATTCGTTTCCCTAAATTTGGCATGTATCATTATAATGAAAAGCGAAAAAGATCGCACTTATTTAAATTTGTCTGTCGTCCAATTTCAACCTCCTAAAAACAATAATAGTAATAACAATGGCCACCTTTTAAATCCTCAACGGCAGAATCGCCCGTTGAGAAAGAGTATGCCCACCAAACCAAGACTTCGAATGCGTTCATCCATCCGGACACGCAAGCCCGCGCCTTTCTGCCTTTCCTGTAAAAGCAGTTTCATCTTTACGCTGGCTACGGCGGGCCTAATAAATCTATAATTTAAGCCTTACGTTTTATGTTACCTTTTTGACACAAAGCGAAATATGTTTTCGTTCGGTTTCGAACCTGGACTATCTCTCGAGTATCTATGTTGCGGAGGCTATTACGTTTTCACTGCACCACTTCTGTTATAGGTGACTCATATCTACATGTTTTCTACCGGCTGACTCCTTTAACAATAGCTAGTCCTCGCTTCTACCAAATATGATTAACATCACTGATATGACTATAAACATTACTGACGTAATGTTACCATCGTCATTGGTTAAGGAGGAGCTTTTCAAAGCAAGTTTAGCCATCATCAGTCCCGGTAGCCATCAGTTTGCTCCTTTTATTTTTGTTTGCCCTTCTCTCTTTTTCCGTTGGATAGACGGTCAAATCATTGAGGCTTCTGCTGCAAACGAGCACTCGTGTCGTCTGTGCCGATGCATGGATGGCTGCTTGTTGTCGTTGTTGTTGTTGTTTCGTTCTTCAACTGACAGAAACCACTATCACGGCCTTTCCGTTAGTTTCCGTCAAACCCAGTTGTGCTGTAAGAAAGGCGTAGCGTGCAGAAAAACATCATCACAACTGAATTCGAGCAAAAGAAAAATCGGCAGCTACAGCGGCAACAAGTACGAACCGCTTCTAACGTCGAAACTATTTTATCACACTTCTAACAACAATGACACCGACAGCAAAAGCGATTAGTGGTGGAATATCGAATAAACACCATCCCATCACGCGCCTGCTGGCTTGTTGTGCTTTTGACACGTTGTTCCATAGAGAGTGCAGCCATTAACTAGTCAACAAGCTCCCTTCCCGCAATCATCCGATGCCCGCCAACCCTGTGCAACTTGTGCGCTAGTCTGTATGTGAGAGCTGTTTACGAATGGAGAGGGCTGAGTTGACCCGGGCCATCGTGTGCGTATCGATGTATCTGCTAACCTCTGTGTATATGTGCGTGTGTGAGATGATTTAAGCAATTGCTGCTTGCGGAGACTAACTGCCTGCCCTAACAGCAAATAAGCGGCGGCCATCAGGAAAACAGGTCCTGCCGCTACCGTTGCCGTCGGTCTATCTCAGCGGCCTTCTGTCCGCCGCTGCTGTCTTTGCCGTTGTTACTGTTGACTTCTGACCGACGAGCGACGGTCCTTGGTTTGCTGAAGGGGCGGTACTCGACACACAGAGTTCTTCGTGCGTGTGCCGTGTTTCGCCGCTCTGTAGAGAGTGACGGGGTGAATGAAAGCAAGCCAATACACACTAATGTTGCACTCCGAGGGTAGTGCTTTTACATCGAGTGCTCGTAGTGGTGAGTGAACAGCGCCAGCCATCAGTTGGCAATTTCAGCGATTTAATTAGCCGAGAAGCGTCACCTCAACGCTCGGCTGCTATACAGTTTCAGTAAGTAGTACGGTATTTATTGGACAAATTGATTTTGCGTCACTTGATCTTAATGATTAGACGGGCAGGCTCTGCCGTGCTGCTTGACTGACTGATCTAGATCAACATATACTGATAGGTAACTCTATCGGTGTTTAACTTTCGTTTTACGATTAGCTAACTAAGTCAGAGATTCAAATCGAAAAATGATCGTTATTTACATATGATTTTAGTGTGTGGGGCGGAACGTAGTTGTGAAACGCACAGCATGAAATTCATGCCGGCGGCAACGGAGCCAGATGCAGCCCGAGTGTAACAGGCCTAAATGTAATCTTTTATTGTTGGGTACAGTACCAGCACATGCCTGAGAACTGACAAATTTTCTACTGCCTTAACATAATAGTGCTCCGGTACTAAAATGAGGTTGCGCAGAAGCCACTAAGATACGGAGTAGAAAAATAATTTTTTATCGTTTGCCCGCCCGAGAGGTAGAGTTGATTAAATTTGCATAATTTTAATGCATTAAATCAATTCGGCTTCTTTTTTGCCTTGATAGTAGCTCAGTGATGAGTCGCACCTGCTGCTGCAATTTCGATATGTAGATTCGGCGAGAAATGTAATTTGTAATGGAGATTATACTATTCATATTAAATAGTAAGGATGACAAATAACCGGCGTCGGCATTCCATACGTTTTCAGCGATTTTTCAGTCAAGTGCTGTGTGTCTTTTTATAGGAGTATTCCTATTTATGAATGACAACCTATGCAGTCGCGCTGCTGTGACCCAATACCTCTACATGGAAATTGCTAATATCACTACAGTTGATAAAATCTACTTGGGTTAATCTAGTATGTTGAATAATGGAATACATAGAACTGGCTATTCCTCTGTTCTAGAAAATGAAATTTGTATTCAGCATGGTACCTGGCGAATTCAGATATATATACGATTAGCACGGCCTATTCAAACAATGCTCGGTCGCCGCCTTCTTCAAACATCTATTTAAAAAGCTCTAGATGCATCTTTAGAGGATGACGCAACCACATGACCACTGACGCGGAACTGATTTTTCTCAAAAACGAAGTAACACGACGGTATATTGTACTAATCTCGCCTTCTTTCTCTACTATACAAACAACGTTCACTGGAGATATAATAATCCATGGCGGCGAAAAGTTTACTATTTATTGGCATATTTATAGGGATGTTTTTCATTTAGATGCAAATATGAGTTGCGTGTAGCGGATCACGGTATCCATTTTCATCGTGGCTTAGTTGTGCCGCGGCGGATCTTCGATGCTGCAGAAAAATCGAATCTTAATTTCAATATAATGCTCCCTGACAAGAAAACGAGATATTTTCGTAATAAAGTCCATAATATATACTTTCGATTTGTGTGTATCTTCCTAAGGATTAACTAATCATGTGCATCTCCGTCATAGAGGGCGGTCAATTTTAGCCATCTGTGGTGTAGTTTAAATTCCTCCCAGAACAAGGAGCTATTTTTGGATATCCAATCGATTTCCTTTTGAAAAAAATATATTCAGAAGCTGCGTGCAACACTGCATCGAACTATACGAGCTGCTCTATAGCGATAGGACTAGCGGCATGAGAATTTCGAAGTTCAGTAAAATGAGACTATAATGGTTTACTAGTATTTCAGTTAAAATTTCCTTCGTTTTTATGTTTTATTCAAATTTGCAGAATTCTGTATTTGTACCTTTTTCTACTAAAAATCAAATGGGAACAGGCTACAGACATATAGGCAAAAAACCAAGTTTGTCGAGTGTGCGATTCAAATACGACATTTGTCGTATGTACGATTCTTCTTATACAATCTTGACAATAACGTTTGTAATGATCATGACCGCATATAGTAATGCAATGTTTACAATGGGGGTCCCAGATTGACTACTGCGTACTACAATGACTACTGCGTACTACAAATAAACGGCAAACGCAACAAGTTACAATTACTCAGCATTAATCGACTTGTTTAAAAACATTGCATGAAACCTGTCGCATGAAATCATAGGGTGAGTCATAGAGGCTGCGGCGATTAGAGCTGATCGACTTAATGACGATATGCTCCTTCACATAAACACAGGTTAACCTCCGTAGATTACATTAAGTAAGCAGTCCAGTATTAACCTGAATAATTTCAACCTAAAAAGTGGGTATTTAATAACTAACTTCACTTTTACGTAGTGATCATAATAAAAGAGAAAGAGTAACCGTAAACATTCGTTTTCATTGTGACGTCTCCCGGAAACCTAAAATAATACCTCTTAACTGATTGTGATTTTATTAGTATTAAAAATTATTTTACTTCTCATTGTTTAATGCGGCAACATAAGATAAATCCATTGTATCATTTCACTTATGTAATTACATTTACTATAGATTCAGAGGGGCACAGCCATGTATTTTTTTTTGCATGTACTGTAATCTTGACTCCTTGCGTACTAACAGCCAGTCAACTGTTTTATTTCAGAATTTGTCCATTGGACAAGTGACAGATTTGGTTTAATTAAAATGTCCGGAGGTGAAAAACCTTACCCATATCTGCATCCCTCTGCTCCACCAGTTGACGCTCCGCCGCCGTATTATCAATCCCCTGTCCCGGGACCGGCAATGGCGGTAAGACTATCACACTGCTGGGGTCTGGACTTCATTTGAAAATCTATCGATTTTTGTGTAGCGCTTTTGATTTTGGCTGAGACCACAAAATGCCGTTGCTCTTTAAAATTATTTCTGGCATAGCTTAGATTGCCGACACTTTAACCTCGCAAATGTTCTTGGAAATATATAAACATCTAGCTTTCTTTTTTTTATTCAAGATCCATTGAAGGGAAAGCAAGTCAATGTTCGGCGATACTCTGTGTTTTATCTGCTTAACTGCCTGCGTGCTATTTTCAACACCTGCTCTCTCTATTTTCAATATTTGCTGTTTACAGTACCCGGCAGCTGGTGCGGCCGTTGCCCCTCCTCAGATGGTCATGCACGGGAGCAAGATGCCCCCAGGATACGTGCCCCCTGCTGGCTACAACATGGCTCAGCCTTACTACGTGGGTGTCTCCTGCTTGCCTATCTAGATTGAGGCGATTTATTGCTTTTCTTTGCTTGCGCGCAAATCATTGTTCGTGTTAGTTTCCCACGGCTTATGGCTAAAGCCACACAGATTTTATTTTCAGTAGATATGTTTCGTCGCATTCAAGATATTTTGAATAATTAAAAAATAATATATGTTCTTTGCTCAAGAGTTGATTCAAGATCCAAAAAATCGAAATACGAAACATGTAATTCATTCTATAGGCTAACTTTTTATCGACAAAGAACAAACCACTGTGGCTACATGAGTGAAGTTACATAACTTGGCGAATGTACAAAATGCTGCGCTCTTTGGGAAGATTTTTTATTCGAAGAATCGAATAGATTACATTTTGAACACAACTGAGAAACATGCATGGTCATTCGTTTGCCAACATATTTTAGTACATACAATGTGGTCTCGTTGCATTTTTGTGTGAATACAGGTTGGACCTAGTCAGATGTACCCATCTGTGCCGTATCCTCAGGGTGGCCCACAGCCAATATATCCAGCAGCACAAGGGTATCCTCAGGTATGTGCGTTCTACAGACGGTTATTGCTCCAAAATTAAAGGTATTATGTGAATAAACGATAAACAATAATAATGCACAATCCCAAATAACTTTAGACGCAAGAGTGTAATATTTGGCTAGTATGACATTCATATTTAAACATGCATTTGTTATATCCTATGATTTCAGCCGAGTCCTCTGCCTCCGTACGCTATGCCAATGGCTATGCCAGTGACGCCACAACAGCATGTCGTAGTTTCGGCACAATTCGACGCTGGCGCAAGGTTTAATCACATTTCTAGGCCAAATATTCCGGTATGTCACGATCATTAGACTATTACATTCTAGTATAATTTTATATCAGGGTTCATATTTGACTCGAATTTCAGTCGTTTCAGTGTACTCTGATTATTTATATTCGTTTGATAGTGCAGTCAAAAAATCAAAACAAAAAAAAACAAATTCTAGAATTATTCCGTACAATTTTTGTTCCATTGCATTTCAGCCGCCTCCACCAGGGTGCATGCCAAATGCTGCTCAAATGGCTATGATGTCCGGTTCAACAACGATTGTTGCGGCCGATCAGAAAAAGGGTGGATTCTTCAAGGGCAGCGGATCCGGGGGCGTGAAGTTTTGGTGATTGATGAAGTCGATGAGACTAGCGTGAAGCACGATTTCTCGCTAATGACAATGACTTAACAACATTGGGCAACAAGTCTGCCAAAAAATACTATAAAAATAATAGCAAAATGCGACTCGAACACGGACATCGACAACACTTTATGTCCGGTACTTCTGTACTGAACGCTAATTAGCCTCGTATGCGTTGTTTTGATGCCTGGTCCAGCCGAGGTCAGTCCATGGGGGACTGAATAATCAGTGTAAATACGAGAGACTAGAGAACAAACGAAGTGAAAAAAACGATTATACAAGTCAGGTATCTCACGTGTTTCATGGGATTTCTTTAGGCGTTCTGCAAAGAAAATTATCTGGCTGCAGTTACTAGAAGGCTTACCTCTTTACGTGTGCTGTCGATATCTTGGTGACCTCTTGTTCTTAGTTCTATCAGTTTTGCGTAAAGAATATCGCGTTTGCAGTAGCTGTTATGACTTTTTTTTTCAATTATACCTGGAAAATAAGCGTCTATGTTGTATAGCAACGACAGTCCCTTCAATGACCAGCTTGAAATTCCAATGAAGAAGCAGGTTTTATTGTTCATGGTGTTCCTTGCTGTTCTTTTAGCTTTTCAAATATATAATCATACATGGTTAACTTAGTTAATCATACTAAATGCAACATGATATTATAATATCGAGTGTTATTATTGTGAAGAAACATATGCATATTATGATTCTTCGGCCTTTTTGGTGCCTTCTTTGCTTCTTTTAAGTTCATTCGGATATATCATTCTAGCCCCCCGATCTCGCTTTCTGCAAATTTAAGTACAAAATCGTTATTTGACACATTGAAGAACCCATTTAAAATCTGTTTTTTTCAAGGAAACAGAGCTGGTTCCCCAGACGCTTGACAACTTTACACAGTTTTTTTTCAGAAAACACGTATATGACTCGATTTATGGTTACCTTTTGTTCCATGGCGTTGCCTGCGTTTGTCGACGTGAACTAGCATTGTTTAAAATCAAAATTTCTTATTCCCACTTACTGCCACTTAGTTGGTATATGAAGTGCCCTTATGAAGATGACTACTGCTAGATATCTACTTCGACCACACGATGAGTAACAACTGACAATGATAATAAAGAAAAGCAGCTGTGTTATATACGTGACAGGCTAGTCGATATTTAACTGTGTTTACATTGCGTGCTCATATATGGTATGAAATACATTATCATATAATAGTATTATATAAATATACAGTGATTGATTGTACGACGAGTACAATTCCTAGTGTTATTGCCAAAGTATGAGTTTGTAATAAATACTTATGTAATAAGTTAACACGGGTCGAATCCTCATCTTCATTTAGTTAACCTGTGAAATTACATTGATAAATTTTTGTATTTGGAAATTATTGAAACAATATTCAATAGACAATTTCGATGCAGCTTTATTCTATGTATAGCTAGGTAATAGAATAACTATAGCAGGAAAGGTAATAAGTATGATAATTTATCTTATTAACAAATTTGAGGGTATAAGACCGCATCAATTCGAATGAGTTCAACCAGATTTCAAGTGCCCGGTTCTACCGCCTACTACATCTCATGGTAATGAACCGAAAGCGCTAACCAAAATAGACAACGTGGCTACATTCTGAGCCAAGTCATTCAAAGTAAGCAATGTTCGGTATATACTGACGAAGGGTTCTATCTAGACGTATGGTAGTAGCCTTTCAGAATGTGTCACCCTACTAAAAAGGGACCGGCGACAGCAGTTACTTCTTAGAATGAATTAATTTACGGGTATGGTATGACCATTTAAAAATAGGTGTACTGAAGATATTTCAAGCAATTAATCCATATGACGTGTCCTTTTCAGTTCAAATCCACGCAATAATTTTTCTGTAAATACATCTTTAGTACAAAAACCGTTAACCTGCGAACAAGTTAGGCCGTACAAATTCCTTTGAAGCGAACGAACGCAACGGCAAAATGTATCGTGCATCGCTAACGACCTGTTACACTAGAGTAGTATGACCAGATCGTTCATATTATAATATAGATTTCAGTTTTTCGGTCCGTAAAAAGAAATCAATTCTGACCCAACTTAATTTCAGATTTGATGCAAACGCAAAAGTAGGTTAAGCTTTCGTTCTAATGCTGTATAAATTGAAACTTTTAGTCTCCAAACTTCAACAAAATCATCCTTAGTAATGCTAAACAGCGCTATTTTAAGCTCCTATAAGGAAACTCTAGCAATTAGGTTAACTATTGGCTCCAGTAGTTAGTTTAGACAGATATCACTTGCAGCCAATAACTATAAATTTTGTTTATAATTACTGTTATCGGACTTTGCGGGACGCTCAAATCTGGTAACTAAAAAGGCAAGCAGCTTAACGATTCATATTCATCAAGCTGGCAAAATGCTAGTACTTCCTCGTTCACGAGTAAAACAACAGGGAAGCACGATGCGTAGCGGAATTTGATCTATGAAACACAAACGCATTTAGCAGAAGTTCTATTGATAAGTAAAGCAACATCCATCTTATCCCATTCCTAACGACGCTATCTATGGAATCAAATGATGGCTCAATGTATCATTCGACAACGAAAATTTCAGTATCATTAGGAACGAATATTATGGTATAATTTATTGCAATAAATATGAGTAAATGCTCGAACCAGTTGAAACTCAGCACTGGTTGCCCGATTTGTTGGTAAGATTAAAAAGTATCCTCAAAAACTAGGTTGTCACAGAAAACTTCTTATATAGATAGATCCGGATATATATAAATACACATATATTTACAGATCTGCAAAATCAAACTAAAAAGGTCCAAAAAGGTTAAAATATTCTTATTCGCTAACCCGATGGAAGTAATTACTAATTCAGTTTTAAGACACTTGCGCACCGGACCCTTTTTCTATATTCTAAACAAACGTTTGATGGTAGCGGATATAAAAAAAACAGTGCTCAAACTCTATATATATACTCTATGTAAAAAAACAACTAAAAATCTTTGAGAATATAGAATGATGAAAATGTTACTAAATAATTATTAATTGCTTAATTTACAATGATTATTCAGTTTAAGCATAATAAAACTGAGTAATCAAATTACGTATTGAAACGAGCTTAATAAATCCCAGTTTAGTGAACTCCTATATGTTTTTCAATGGCTTGTCTTAATATATGAGGAAGTGTTTGAACCCCCAAATATATTACTGATAAATACAAAGAGGACATGCAATGGTGAAAACTATTCTTCCGATAAAGATAAACCCGTTATACTATTTGATAACCAATGATGAAGTGCATTGCTCAGATATCTCGCTTGCAATTTCTTCTACTATATCCTAATTAAAGTTGTAAAAAAAAGTCTTTCTTAGATTCTTACTATGCGCTGGTAGTCAGAACTGACAGGTGGAGCAGGCAGTGTATTGGTTCTATTACCCACACCATGAGACACACCGACATAGCTTATCCTTAGCCTTTTAATCGCTGAATGCGACTGCTAGGCTTTTTTCTACCAGACGTAATAATGGCCACAATTTCGTCATATGGCGTACCCGACCTTAGTGCATTTCTAATTAGAAGAATCTGTTTCGTCAACAAGGCCACTTACACGTAGTAGTCTCCTATAATCGAATAAACGTCGGTTAAAGCCAACTTATATAGGAATCCCATGCTCTCTTGTGTTTGGCGCCCTTTTTGTTATTTGACACACGCAGTTTTCAGTCTGGGCTTCTGCGCCCTTTCAAGCGGTTCCGTGGTTTAGCGTTAAGTTCTCGGAACTTTGGAGTGTTTTGAAGAAATCGTCCACATCTCGCTTGTGTACTGTGGGTTACGCTGTGAGCCCCCTAACTCTGGATGCGTGTTCGTCTGCGTGTGTGTGTGTGTGATGCTGCTAGAAATGTTTTCTCTCTCTCTGAGTTGTTCATCGAACACAATAATGAAACTGCTCTGGCGCTCGCTACTGTTGGCATTTCAGCGTGCGATTTTATTGCGCTCCCCAACAAGGGAGACCAAATGAACGGGTTCGATCGAATCGCAGTCACCCACCATCACTACCTAAGGTTTAGCCGTCGCAGGTTAAAGAAGCGACGATGGACTTTGAAGAAAGCGCCAATACAGTTCTGCGGAGACTGCCAGAGGTTGATCAGGAGTACTTGGATACAGCGTTTCACAATTACTATGTCGACTATGGTGCGCCACCGGATACATTGGCCGACCTCTGTGAGGCCACAGAGGGTTCTGGGCCAGAGGCCGTTACTGGTCTACTTGAGGACGTCCGTAAGGTCCTCATTAGTGCAGTCCGACTCAAAAAAGTCGAGGTGTTTTGGAATACAGCGATAGAGGTACGTACGAGTAGGAAGATTGGTGAAGGTCCTATTTAACTGATTTACTTTAGGCCAATATATAATAGCTGCTGCTTACCTGGTTTGATTGCGATGTTACTTTAATCAGTTAGTGCAGTGCCAATTACGATAGCTGCTGGTATGTAGTGAATACCGTGAAATGAACGCATGATAATGAGGCCGCAAGTACTGTTACTATATTCGCCTCCGTTATGGTGGGTCACCCACGGGATTGTCTTCTCTGAGTTTGTGTTTGGACCGCTATGGGTGCGCTTGTCATTACGCAACTTGCTTCGCGCCAATCTACCTTGGCGCTCAGCTGATTTTTTTCTATGCCTCGAAGACGGTAAACTATTACTTAGGAAACAAAGAGCTCATTTAAAATAGTAACATTTGTTTCATCATCTATTTTGTCTCGACGAGCTAGATATGGGTGCATTTGATGAAAAACCATGTAAGAAGAAGTTCCAGATGTCAGATATACAGTTTTATTTTTAATGAACATGTCTACATTTGAGAGAAATCTAACAAACCACACTATTTTTCTAATGATAGCGTAGCTTTTACAAGAAGTTCTTTCTATAAGCCTCTTTAAAAGGAATTCCCGTGCAATAATAACTAGAAATAACAAGTCAACACGATACGTGCAACTCTGCTCACTTCTAAATTAGTCTTAATCCAGATTTTTTTGCATTCTGCCTGATTAGCTTTGAGCGCTAGGTTTGTCAAACGTAAAAATACTGTTTGGAAGCACTTGTTTGAAAAACTCTGTAATAATTCCAATCACTAGTTTTAGTTTTATCCGCATCGGAGTATACATACGGTTTTTAATGTGAAAAGCAGAGTGTTTATATAATGAAAAATGAAGTATGACATATAACGATTTAAAGATAATGGAACTTTCAACGATTGTAGTATGGCAAGCAACTATTTTTGCCACCCTAACAATAGTAATGTGGTTTAAAATAACTAAGTATACTAAAAATCAAAGTAAGTTTATCTTTGTATTTCGAGTTCTACGTCAGGCATCGCTGTTACGCAATCCATCAGATGGCTCGAAACAAAATGTGTTTATGCCCGGCTTCGAATTTAGACCACAACGCGTTCCTAACATTAACAGGCAAATACGTTACCCACTAAGCCATCATGGGGACAATGTAGGTTCATCTTCTTGAAGTGAAACGCATCACTCCCTTGTTTGCAATAGATGTTAGTTCTAGAGTCAAAATCTAGAGATTATTATTACATTGGCTTGTACTTAAACTGATTCCCACCGTGCAACCAACACGATAATGGAATGTTAACCACTAATAAAACAGGTTATACTAATCTTAGATCAATATGTACATAGGTGCATCATGTAGGACCAAGGTGCACGTAGTGACTGTCATTGAAACTACTCTAATAATAATAATAATAAATGACAGTAATAATACATTTTGGCGACAATCTGTTTTCGTATCCTCTCTGATCTATCGTATTTGCTATTTCTTCGCGTTTCCTTTTAGCTGGGCCGTTCCGAACGATATTTCCTTGGTGTGATTTACATGGGAGTAAGCCAGGCAATGGCAAGCGGCCGGATCGCGGATAAAATTGTTGGACTCCTTAGTTGTCAGATGTACCTGTCACTTATGCTAGTTCCAAAGACGGTGAGCATATTCTAATAGAATCAAGTCGTTGTAGCAGCGAACCAATGCAGATTACGCACACATACAGCCGAATATGCCTCAGACCTTACGAGTGTAGGTGAGAAATCTAAGGACTTTTGTAACTAAGTTGTGACTTATCTGTGGAGGTGGAAAATCGTGTGGTTAAAGGTTAACATTTTATAAACAAGTAAAAAAATGGTATAAAATTATCATCATTAATGATGTGACATTTAGTTGGCACCACTATGACGTATTTAATTGCGAGAACCAAAAAAATATGAACTTGCTGGGGTGATCGCCTAATTATTTTGCTTCAATTTCCAATCATCTAATTTCCCGAATGCCTTTTTTATCAGGGAGTCAATTTGTTATTTCCATCTCTCCTTCAAAGTTGTCTGTCAATGTTATCTTTGCCGGTGAGCAACGGCAACGCAAGTTCGTCTTCTTTCGTTACTCCAAAACGGAACAGAAGTGTGAGCACGGAGTCACGTAGTGTAACTGTTGACGATGAAGTGTATCCTATCGAGACCTTGCAGGACTATGTGGAACATATTACAGAGGTAGGGCAGGACATAAATTCTTTCACATTGTAGGGGTATTTTTAAGTAAAAATATTAATAAATATGAAGACTTTAGCCACCATTTGAGTGTTTTTGAACGATGATTTTTTATCGTCAAATGGCCTAAAGTGAGGCTAGTTATATCTGTTTGAACTTGTTTCTTTTTAATTAGTTTTCTTTTCCTATTTTTCATTTCATAATATTTAATACTGATTCCATTGCCCTAATTAGTGTCCGTTTTCCATTCGATGTAGGCCTTGGATAGCCTGAGATTATTTCTCACCAGCGTAAGTCTTGAGGAACATGATGACGTTGTGAGCGCGTTATGCCAGCATATGGCCGTAATTACAGAAAATGAGATGCTCAGCCCTCAAGCATACGAGGTGCTAGGTGCCCTTTGTGATCGGGATGGCCTGCACGGGGACTTGCCAGAACTACTTAAACTCGTCTCCTTTAAGCTCAACGGCAACCTCCTAATGTTAAAGGCGTCAGTGAAGTAAGTACGGAGATACATGTGAAGGAAGACAAATATGTTCTGTGATTGCGTCAGTTTGTACGCAGCTTGAATTCTGCAGTTACGCCACCTTAGTTCTGTCCCGAAATGAGCGAAAATATTCAGAGCCTACTGAAAATGATAGAGGTGCATTGTTATCGATCAAATAATAGAGATAAAGATAAATTGTTTATATGAAAAATACCTTTGCTCTTTTTTGTTTTTCTTTTGCACACGATCTTTAGGGACCAGGTTCCTCGAGCGATGGTAAAGGCTCGTGATACGAGTTTACGCTTTCTTATGTGTATGAGGGACCGGGTGAAAAGTGATGAGTATCTCATTGTCACGATTCAACAGCTAGCAATGCGGTCATTAGAAAAAGCAGACATTCGCTTCCGGACCGCACAGGGCGTGCTCCAATTGGTGCTCCAACTTGAGGAAGAATCCCTTACCCAGACTCTGCACTGGTTTCACAAAATGATCCGCTCGAAAATCCCGCGGCATCGAATGTTCACGCTGGAATTATTTGGCCAGATCTGTAGCTTACAAAACACGCCGCAGGTAAGTATTATATTAATTTCTGCATAAAATAAGCGATCTAGCAGAAATAAACTCTGTTTGATGCCAAACGTAAAGGACTCTAGGATCCTTTGGAGATATCGCTGAACTCTCTAGGGAAGTAAATATTACACTTGAATTTACAAGTATGTTTTTAAAAAATCCAAATTCTTAGAGCGACAATGTCACTAATTATGTCAGGAACTTTTAAAAACGAACTTTCTCATTCATTACTACAGCAAGCCATTTAAAGTTTAAGTATGTAGTAAGCAGCTGGATATCTCATACGAGTTAGATTAGCGAGGTGAGCAGTAAACCAGTTTCACAACGATGAGGTCGCAGTTTCGGTCTTGAATGCAATGAAATTGTTTTGTCTTTAATGATTTTAATTACCAATAAGTCTATGATTTTCCACTGTGAGATTTCGCCGGCGTGAACATTGTAACGTTTTTTTTTTCGTAACGTTTTTGAAATCCGCATACTTCGATTAGTGTATAGGCATTGAGCGGTTCTATCCGGATACTGAAAAAAACCCGAATACTTAAAGAAAATTTGGAGCAAACTAATAACTACAAGTGCTGGTTTTGATGGCCTAGGCATTACGGCGACACTTCAGTAATATCGCATTGGCCTCTCTCGAGCGAGTTATGGATGATTTGGCCACAGTGAAAGCTAAAGCATTTGCTTTCTTTTCTCAACTTACGAACACACCCCATTGGATGGATAACCTCGTGACAAACGAGTGCAGTCACGAAGATGTTATCGGTGCATTGTTAGGCATCCTAAACGAGTGTGTGAAAGATTCAAAGGTGCATGTACGGAAAAGTGCCCTGAACGTGCTAAATGGAATTCTCTGTGGCGATACCGAATTCGACAAGGGACCTTATGTTGATGTGAGTTATCAACAAAGAGTAACTATTATTCATGATAGTCATATCTAGTGACATTGGCATAGAAATTGTTGTTGCTATTAAAATTATATTTATTTCCTTTCTCAAACAGTATAGTTGACACATAATCTATTCAATACTGAAAGAAACGCATACTGAACAAAACGCGTTCTTTTAATTCTTCGTTGTGCTTGTACTGATTTCAGGTGATTGTTCGATGTTGTCGTGATCAGACGATTCTCGTTCGTAAGCATGCTCTTGAGTGCCTTTTGAAGGTGTATCGACGTCATCCCACCTATAACAAAGAATTCGTTTCTGGTGTATTTCCTCTCACGATGGACAACGAGCCATCAGTGCAAGAAAAGGCATTAGCATGTGTTCTTGACGTCATATTCGACTCAATACTACCGGGACATGTGGAAGATAGCGCATGGAATGTCCTTAAACATCTAGGTAAGCAGTGACTAACGTCTAAACCCAAGATTCTGGAATTTAGGATTTTTGTCAAGGTTTCCTGTACACAAATGATGCAAATGTTTACGGATGCAGTCGGGTTCAAGTCCGACAAGATCTCTCCAGATTACATGCAGCTGACACCGAGCTCCGCCGTTTCATCGGTGACCGCTGAATTTCATTAAAGCCAAGCGGTGACTTTGAGGTGTAGACAGGCAGAGTAGAGCTTAAAGATTTTTCTTCCTCTCCGGTTTCTCTCTGTCGTATGTAACTAAATTCCTTATCTAGGCTCGTTCGCATCGTAAAACGGTCTATTTTTCATAGCACGTAGGAAATAGATGTCGGACGGCATCGATAACAGCGGCAACAATCAAGAAACCATACTGGTTTTCTTTATCAAAAACTCCGCGTCCGTTTGACCCAGAGGTTTCGATACGCCTCCATACTTATTACATTATTCTAGGAAATTTGCTAGTAAAGCGCGCAAGAAATTCATGTATCTGCTTGCTTACACACGATTCTTGTTAGAGGAATTCAAATTGTATCTCAGTCTACTTCACACGACAAGCGACAATAGGAGCTTTTTTCAACCGGCAATGCAAAGTCGCTTACATCGACGTTGGGCTAGACAGTACAAAGACAATAAAGAAGGACACATAGAATGATCTAGACAGTTCGCGCTATCCCGTCATCAGGTGGCTGACGCGCTACACACGAGGTTCATCATGTATTAAGCAACATATCAGCTCTCCCACAGGTTTTGTGTAAGAATAGCGACTTTGCGATCATTAGCATGCTCCGCAGGTAATGTAATAACTCTTATGGGTGTATCAGGGCGCCCGGCATGGTGATAAAATGCAAGGAAATGTGTCAATAGATGTACAATGAATATTTGTTCAAAATTTCTGCCTATGTAAGCCGTATCTTTAGACTATGTTGTACTACGTTCCTGTATCTAATATTATATCCCTTTCTGTTTTTTTTTGTTTTATAATTTTAATGAGTGATTTTACAATCGAACTCTCGCCCTAGTTGCATGATTAGCTACTCTTCAATCAAAAAATTGTTGCTTCGTCATGAACGGTCAATGAAGATGAAGTATCGATAATCGTTAGATTAACTTCTCCTTTTTCAAAGAGTTCATCTAACTTTCAAATATCATACGTTAAAGCTTTGTTATTATTTTTGCAGTTGTGGGTTTAGTCGTGAAAATATGCCAATGGATATATATATATATAGCTTTCGAAAGTTAGCCGGTTAAAAGAATAAAACAAGTTATACAAGTTCGCAAATTTTTGTCTGTTAATGCTAGGGTTGCGCTTGTTACAGTAGTTCTTTTTAAGGTATTTTTTCCTTTGCAGTGTGATCATGATTGTCATTTATGTTGGATCCTTTTTCCTTCAATTCAGGCACATATGAAAGGTATTTACCTTTGATATGTGAGCAGCTATGCAAGAAAGAAGGGAAGGTTCAGCTGAATGATCAGCACATACGGGCTCTCACTATGGCTCTCAAGACGGTTAACGCATCGCTGGCATGGAAGCTGCTTAGTTATCTTTGCAACCACACCCACGTCAGCCTGTCCGGATTCGACGCCTGTGAGGATCAACTGTGAGTTTGTCAAACCTTGCAAAATGCACTGCTTTTCATTGAAGTTTTTAACAGCCAAAATGATGCTGGTTGCAATTACACTGCATACCATGATGAGCTTTCGGTAAAAGGGAGAACGTTATTCAGAAATTCGCGGTACAATCCGCCTATGCTATCGTATTTGACGATGGTTTATAGTTAGATGAGGTGTTATTACTCAATAGTATATTAAGATTCTCCTATTTTGTGTTCAATTCGGGCTTTGTTTTCAGAGACGATGACGCGCAATGTTGTCGTTTGAGCGTGCTCTTGACACAGTCCAGGCAAAAAAAAGAAGATGAACATTATTTGGGTAAGTGCTACTTAAACAACAAATAAATTAATATGGTGTATTGCAGTTAATTAGTCAGACGTGCAAGACAATTTGTGCACGGTGGCGCGCGCAAAAGTGCAATTTTATAATTGTAGTAACATCATGAGCATATCCAAAATTTTTCAGAGCAGTTTAGAGGACTTTCAGGTTACAAACAAGATGCCTCTTTACCTGAATCTTTTTACCTAAAGGTCTTTCAATCTGTCAATAAAGCTGACACGTTTAGGAACCGGAAAAATAAGTAAATCTAAGTCAAACACCCAGAAAATTAGATGTCTAACTACTAAATATGGAAACAAGTTTATCATTTCAACAGGTACGCATATGCAAATAAAAATACGAGCTCTTTCTACCACCTCTTTTCTGCTCCCAGAATCATTACTGACGATACTAAACGATCCCGCCACATCATTTATGAGACTGGCTCATGTCTGCTCAATCCTGCTCCATTTGGATCGGTCCCAGCTGGTGCGTTGGGCAGACGTGACTTTCCCGAACTGCCTGGCCGTAATGGAGCAGGCGGTCGAGGATGAGACGGAAGATTCGGTATCTGAAAACGACTTACTTTCGGCAATGTTCAAGTCGGGCGAATGTGTACTAGTTATACCAAATCTTGCCGACCTTCGCTTGTGCGCCCTTCTACGAACAATCGTACAAGAATCAAAACAACCGCGTAAGCTGTTTTATCCTCAGCATTTTTGTTGATTTCTTTCACTCATAAATGTAGTTCGATCAAACTTACTAAGTCATACACTTTCTGAATACAGCATATCGAATACCTTAGATTGGTGATGTTGTCTATCTCCTGATTTGCGATAGCAGACGCACCCATCTGAATCACGATGCCGAGTAACCTTTTTTATTCTCATCATTATCCCCATTTGATTGACTGATATGTTTCTACCAATCTAAACTGTCTAGCTGTCTTGAGATATATATGAAACCGGGAGGAAAAAAACAAAGAAGACAAGTTCATGGTCGTACTTGGAAAAATATGAGCAGGACGAACAGCTTTTGGAAAAATTTGTTTGGAGCAGTGAAGTTATAATTAAATTACTGGCACTATCGATCGACACAATTTAACTTACAAGGCAATTGAAAATTCATATGTTACACTGAAATACCATGCAAATTTATCAAAAAGTTACAATTTGGTTCAACTACAAAAATAATTATACCATTCTTTTTCTTAACAGAACAGTGACCGATGTCAATTACCTGAATTTACCGCAAGAATCTGCTTTACACGAGGACTTTGCTGGAAATTATGAACTTTATTTCTAACAAAAAAGAACAATTGTACACCATAATCGTAGTGTAAGAGCACATCTTGATGAGAATCATGCAAACAGATGGATTTGACGAAGAGGCTCTATAAAATACTCCGCCCGTTCCTTGAACCTAACGCCAATGGAATTCATGTGGAGACATTTTAAACTCTATACCAGAAAATCGGCGACACCGCAAGAAATCTAGAGTTAAGCAGAATGCGCCACAACACTAAGTGAAATGTTTGATAAAGTATGTGAATCAATAACCTGTCGTTCAACGGTAATAATTTTGAATTTATGTGGCAAAAGAAAAGGTTGTGCATTTTGTGTAGATTTTTTTGCAATTTAAATATTAACTATATGTGAATAAAGCTTCAAACTCTGTATGCATTTTTGGGCACCCTGTATATATGCACACGTTTTACTTTATGTATTAATATATATCGTAGATCCGAGCAAACCCTAGTGCTGCCTTTTCGTTGCAGTGGCTGTTCGTCGTATGGCCCTCCGCGTGCTGGGTCAGATCTCACTTGTATCCATGGACTTAGCTAAGCGGTTAGTAACTCTTATCGGAGACACTGTAGATAATGCACACGATCTTTCCCTTCGAGTGATCGGCATTCGCACCGTTGCCGATCTATCATGCCGTTATGCCGCACTGACCGATTCGCTATTACCGGTCGTCTACTGTTTACTCAAAGACCCGGAGACCGAGGTTCGTCGAGCAGCCATTACGAATCTACTGCAACTGCTTAAAGAAGAATATATAAAACTGAGAAATAATTTCCTTTACCATATGCTTGAGTGCGTTCTCGACGACGACGAGATGCTACGCGACTTGAGCGAGTTCGGCCTGGACCAGTTCGTGCTCAAGAAAAACCCAAACATATTTCTACACAACTTTATCGACTGCGTGTTTCACCTGAACGCCTACCGCGGCCATTCACTCTACAACCAGGTGCTGCAAACGCCTCGCGAGATTGCGACGTTCTCGCTGGTGGGGCAGCCATTGAAGAGGCAGATCATCTACCGTTTCATGGTCCGTCGCCTGACGGATGAGCACAAATTCCTGCTCACGCTCAACATCTGCAACAACGTTCTCAAGGCGATTGCTGATAACGAGACAGCTGTCGACCGGTGAGTGATAAATAAAATGCGTTTACTATATTTTTCAGCAAGATAAACTAACATAAACCAGAATCGTCAATATTATTATTACTTTAGATTGCACGCAATTATTGCAATATAATGGCAAAAAAAGCATCTTTCACAAAAAAGTCGCCGGAACCCACAGCCTCAAGCTGTTTTGTTCATACTTCCGTGACTTAGCGAATGCCCAGCGATTGTGATCGACCTACTGGAGGTGCTCTGCATGGACGAATTACGTCTGCGGGTGACCACTCGAGGTGACGAAGAGGAGGCTGGAACAGAATTCACTGAAGATGAAAATAACGGACTGGCCACCGCTTCATCGACTCCGGTGAACTCTCGACACACCCGCAAGAAGGAACAGTTTATTCTGAATGCCATCAAGCTCAAAACGATGATCGAGTCGATCCTGCCACCGCTGACCATGCTCAAGAGCCGGTATGAAACAACTTTTTCGTTCACACAGGTTAAGCAGGACATGTCATTTAAGAACTGGTGTATCGATAAGGACGGGCAAAAGCTCGGACAAGCTTAAACGGCTTGAGCGCGTTGCTGCTTGATATCAGACTTGAACTTCTTCTTCACAACTGAGGCAAAGGTATTTGCAAAACAATGAGCAAGTCAAAGCAACGCGTTTCGCCTAAATTGAACTACTAAGACACATGTACAGTAGTTCGATGCGGCTAACGTCAACATAAGTATTGAGTTATGCTATGCTACTTTTAAAATAGGGACTTCAGTTAAAATTTATCAGAGTGTATTTGAGCGAGATGTCATGTAGCATATTGGTCTAGCAGATAATATGACGTAACACTCTTTCCTTGCCCTTTTTTTTACCTTGTTCTAGTTGCGAAGACAACGAGGAACTTATGACTGCCTTAATGTCATATCTCAACGTACTTAACCACGAGTACAAGAACGAGCTTAAGTCGCTTCTTGTTGGGAATTCTGCCTCAGAGTTTTATAACGATTTAAAGAAATTCGAGGCTAGCCGAACGCGACTGGACGACACTGTTACCGGCTCTATAGCTGCTGAGGATCCTCAACAAGAGGTTTGGAGACAAGTTTTGTTTCTACTTTTAGTGCCACGGGTTTAATAAGATTAATCGAATTGTGTCCGTACCAAGAAAATTTAGTGTCATCTTGTTGTTGTCTTATAATCATTGGCCTTCTTACAATGTATTGCAGAGCAAAATGAAGCTCATTATGAAAGTGCTTCAAAGCGCACGAAAGCAGCAGCGAGCAATTCTAAATCGCGACCAGGAAGAGCAACAAATAACTAAGCCGTTGCAAACAAAGGCCGGTGCTGCAACGCCAATGAAGCAGCCTGTGGGCATCTCTGAGGCTCCTTGCGAGTTGATAGATGAAATTAGCGCGGCCAAAGTAGTTTTCAAGGATCGACCTACAGCGACTATTGCAGCTGAAAACGGCCAAGTGGAAGCCATCCAACAAAAAGCGCCTGACAATCGGGCGAGGGATATTCCGACGACCAAGGAGGCAAAAACAGCCAAAGCCAGCAAGGCTACTAGCCAAGATCTCGTAGATACTCGAGCATTGGAAAAGACGACAGACGACATCATGGAATTGAGCGGAATCGAGCCTTTGACCGAGGAGTATGAAGTGGAGTCAGAGCGCCCCCAGTCTAAGAACACCGCCGAGAATGGCATTCCGGTTGAAGAAGGGTTTGACACTCAGCAATCAAATAGTGAAAACGTGTGGAATGGGGTTGCGGATACTGAGGGCAATGAAAATAAAAACGTGGAACGCAAAGATGACAGCGATTCAGACAGTGGCCCACCCGTTCCTCTCATAGATAATATTGAGCAGGTTCTGCGGGTCGTAGAAGAGGCGCCGTGTTCAAAACCCACCATCGTCAAAGCTGTTTCGAAGGTTATGGTACACAATGACAACAGTAACGCTATCGAACAGAACGGATTCGATCTGCCGCTTAATGGGCATGTCCTCAGTCGGACAAAAGCAAGAAAAAGGCGATTTAGAGAGATGGAAGATGAGCAGAGAGCAGCAGTGAAAAAAGACGTGGTCGATAATCAGCATTGTGCAAAAAAGGTAAAGACAGTACAGGATTTATATTTGGAGAAAGTGGCTACCGAAGGAACGAGCAAGTCACGGAAACGTCGACGATCGGCGTCAACAACTTCAAGCACATTCCAAACCCCCCAAGCTTCGCACAATTCAAAACGGCTGCGTCAGAACCATAAAAATGATATCACTCTAAATAACAATTGCACCGTAGTAGATAGAGCTGTGAAGAATAACCGTGAGACACCCAGTTCGAGTGTGCCTTTTACGCCAAGACGTTTGGTATCAGTAAGTGCCCTGTGCTTTTTAATTTCTATGCATATTTACCTCTTATGGTTTCTGTAGGGAAATCATATGATTTAGATGAAATATTGGATTAAAACTAGTACAGCAGTATTAGGAATAGCTTTCAAACTAAACCAAAGGTAAAGTTTATAAAGGGGCAGCTTCAGTGTTATATGGATAAACCTACGAATGACGTCTGTATATTTGTCTGTTTTGCTTTTTACAGAAACGATCTAGGAACATTCGTCCAGAGTCAACACATTCTGGTCTGCTTCGTTCGCGATCAACGGCGGGACAGCTCGGCAACCGTCCTTTTCGATCTGGTTCCGTGGACTCACGACTTTCATCAACAGTGTCCTCTTTGGTGTCCACACGATCTTCGGTAAGAGCTCGACCTAAAGCAGCAGCGGCATCGTCCCTTGAGGCGCGTTGGAAACACGAGTATAACCTTATGGTAAGTGTAGTTTTAATCAATTCGAAATCTCTGATTTATGACGCGATCAATTCTTACTTGGTGACAGGAGTATGCAGTAGGACGAAGTATACTAAATTCTACTAGCTGTTCAAGTGCTTGTCTCATCTCTGGTTCGCTATTCCGATTTTGTCCAAATTAAAGTTGCTCTTGTAAAATAAGCAATGCATTATATTTTTGTGGTGGGCCTGATTTGCGCTTGTTTTTCTATATGTGATCGTTCCTTGTGATACTAGCCATGCGAAGTGATCGTCATTCGAAACCCAGTTGTGGAGATATGCGCCAAAGAGATGCGAAACACGGGTCAGAGTATCTTCAGAATGGTCACCAATGTTCCTCACCGAGCAGCTCCGGTAGGCTACGGCAACAATAAAAACAGAAATAGCAAACCGAACACCAATAACAATAGTAGCAATAGATCATAACACATTGTACGTGCAGGAACGGCGACGGCCAATTCAACAGACATTACAGCATAGAAAATAATTGCGTACTAGGATGACTATTACACTAACTAACGTCTAAAAGTATCGGATTTATGAAGCTTCAGTATTTTCAAAGTCTTTGTAAAAGTTGATGGACAAATACCTGTGTGACCCTTTGAGAATACTGCAGTTCTTAATAGTCGCCGTCTAATAAAACTGTCCGTCAAAGTAAAGGAATGAAATGGTTGCGACAATCACTGTAAATAGACAAATTAAGTAATTTAATACGAAGCTCTTTCCTGTGGCAGTCAAACCAAGTAATACCCGGTGAACCAATAGTGAAACATTGTAATTACATTTCTTCACATATATATACATGTATATATATAGCCAGCACTGATACACAAATACATTAAGATACAAAGCATCTGTCTTTGTAAAGCCATTGCTATTTTATTTATGTGTACAAAACCAATGTAAAAACGGATAAGCAAATTTGCTTGTAAAAAACGATCCCGTGTAAAAAAAGAAAATGACAGGAATGCACAAATCCTTGTAAGTTATTGTTACTTTGATACGCTGCAAATAATAAAACAAGCTACGAAAGTAATTGATATATAATGATCAGAGTGTTTGTCAGTGCCGAAGAACATGGTAATCTATCTGCACTTTTAGCTAATCTAGTTTCAGAACAACAATATTGGATACCTGTTAGACTTTTGAAAAGTTGTACCAGGATTGCTGTTCATGCATGCGATATTGGTGAACTACAAATGTGTCATCGACAATGCGCAACGAACAGAGCCCAAACTTTACCATCGGCGAATTTAGCGTCGTCCGATTTCTTTTAACTACAATTTAAAAAAATTTAGCTTGTGCAGTTGTACAGCACTTTTTGTTTAGGCGTAGACCAAAGGTATGCGTGCGGCCGTAAGCTAAACTGTAAGCAAAAGAGGCTCGTAAAATAAATGATAGTGCAAAAAAAATTATAATACTAAAACAAAGTAGGTCGAGTTCGACTACAAAGTACTGAAACAATGGAAACTGAAGGACAATGTCGACAAAGCCTCTTGAAAATACCTACCAATTTAAAACTCAAGTCAAACGGCAGCATGATCAGCTCAACGTGAACAATTGACGGGATCGATCGTATCGCCGAAAGCAGTACGCTACAGATATAAACAGCTGCAGTCAAGCTGTCATATAGTAGCGTACTAATTTTGTGTTCTGAAATGGCCATTAATGATATTTGATAGCCATAGTTACGCTTCACTACAAATGTGGGAGGGGTCACAGCCCACAGTTAGAAAACAAATAAACGCAGTCGAGTCGGTACTATCTGCTACTAAGCTGGTGGTGGAACATCGGGCGTTTACGCGAGCAAAGCATGTTCAGATGAATTCGAGTAAATGCATAAGGTTTCTGCTCAAATTTATATGGATCAGCTACGTTACGGCGAAAGAAGAAGGTACTACGTAAGTGCAGATTAGCGCTTACTGTCATCGATTCTGGGGCACATATTGACGGAAGGATCTGATCCAGTGCAAAGAAGTATTCCGTAGACGGATCCCACAAGAACCACAACAATAACTGTGGATGAACATAGCGTTGTTTGTAACAATCACGAAATGTTCCGATTGCAGCGACCACTAAAATTAGTGGTCGCTGCAATCGGAAGTGACTACGAGCTTGATTTGATAGTCTAGAGCCTAAAGTATCATTTTCGAGTTCTGAAGGCAACGGGACCTGCTCTTAGTCATTCAAAGCAACGATTCAGGTAAAGGTGTCCTATAGAAAATCAAAGGATCTTAATGCAAATTCGTATAGTATAACATTAACATAACATATTATAGCCTGGTATGGTCTATCACATATATTGGGCAATGCGTATGCAAGAGCCAATCATAGTGAATAAGCAAGGTCTGTACAGTGTTTAAATTTACCGCAGCCGGCGCCGCATGAAACCATGTAGGTGGGTACATTTTTGGACTCATTCACACGAGGACAGCAGTTCTAGAAAGCGTTCTAACAGATTTCAACAGTAACATTGGAACGTATGGGCTATGCATGTTATTCCAACCAATTGTGTTTTTCATTTTGATATCTCGTAAATGGTATTGAGGTCACCAGCTGCTCAGTAAGCCACGAACGTTAGGATTCTACTTCAACCTAGGGTTTGCAGCCGAATCGAAAGACCCAATACCAAGCTGGATAAATATCCCCTCAGTTCTCAAAAGCTTTTTGCAAGAGGGTCGCTAAACTCCTAGTTCCGCTTAGCCTATACAGTTAGGTTTATTTTATAAACTATATACGTTAAGTGAAAAAGCCAATAAAGATAGATAACCCGGTCCGATTCCTTTTCAAAGCCAGAAATATATGCTTCTAAATAGAATTGTTTAAATAAAATTTCATTATTTTCAATTCACGATGATTGTATTCATTGCGTCGAATTCCTTGAAATAAAAACAACGTCGTGATCAAAAGATTGTTTTTACAGGTACCAGTATCGAGTGAGCATTTTATATTGTATCAAAAATTATTTATAAAATCTTGTTCTGGGGAATGGATATCTGTGTTTGACGATGAAACAATAACATATACACTTGCAGGTATATCAGAGTACAAAAATTGTTCTTTGACAAACAACTACGTACGTTAGTATAAAATCCCTTGGGACAGACTATATTTATTGTGAGGTCATTTAAGCTAGCAGTTTGTCTGGTCTGTAGACCAACATGTATAAACTTAGTTTCTATAGCTGTCATTATTTTAGATTAACACGAGCATGCCTTAGCGCTGGGTTTATTCTAAAGAAAACGTTTAGTTTGACAATAAAACCCCAATACTAAAGTAACGGAACATTCTCATTTCTAAAACTTCAACCTTTTTCTGCAATTACCATAGTAGGAACCACCTATAGAAGTAGACGAACAGTCAGGTCAAGCTCCTACCCTGCTGCCAGACGCGACAATCAGAGTTTTCACACAAAATGATAAAACATAATTTTCAACCGTTTTCTCTGCCTCTACCCTTATCGTGTCTTCAGTGAGTACAAGTTTCTCAACATTGCTGCTGAACGATGCAGCTACAAACTCAGCTTCAGCGATCGACATTTTTGAAACAAGATTTTCCGCTCCTTTATCCAACCGAAGCAATAAGTCGGCTGCTTTGAGCCGACAGCATAGCCAGTCTTCATCTTCAGGGAAAACAAACTTAACTAGCCGTTTACAAATTTACGATCCATAATCAACTCGAGCCTACGAGCAAAGTTCAAACAACGCCGACAACTCGCCATCGCAATTTTCGTCGAGATCAAGGCGATGTTCATCTGCGTGGACGGCGGGAAAGCTGACCAAGAAATCATTAAGGTCCATACCTCGACTTCGAGTTCAATGACAGGGTTTAGATTGCGCAATTTTTTCGATTAACATAAAAACGTCTAGCCAACGTGACCAGTCTACTAGTGTTATAGTTTTGTCGTCGGGGTTCTATCGACAATATCTGTAGTTTTGGATAGTGAAGCTCCTATTTATCACTCACGTGCATCAAAAGCAGTCTCGTGCGAGAAACGTTTAATCGACACTCGCAACCAAGAACATTCGACGAACAGTTCTCCGACTTCGCTGTCTTCAGTTAGCGTGCAGTTGTCGTTGCTAGACCCCGCTCGCTCAGCTGGCTTACGACCAGAAAGCCAGAATTCGGACAATCAACTCAAAAGACGGAATTCTATGAAATTGTTCATCGCATCAACGGACTATCTATTAAACTCTACTGGATCATGGCCGAATCGTTCTGTTCGAATTGTTCTTCATCGAGCTAGATTTCCAGCGCCGTCTCTAGAAGTAAATTGGGCCAGTAAATACCAATTAAAGGTAAGCCAATAAATCCACTTATAGGTAGGTAGGAGGCATATAGATTTTTAGTTTAGATGAAAAAAATAAAGAATACCACGATTTCGTCGCTGAATTCGATCAATGGTTGGCGTTAATTTTTTGTGGAGTTTCATTAATTATTGAATTTCAAAGTAGCTGTGCAAATATTTATCATTATTATTTAGATCCTTCACCCATATTTCAAGCAATAGGTGTATAGAGTGGTACATGGTGCTAGGCCAAATGTTACGACAGAGCGGTAAGCCGTTTCCATCCTGTATTCTTCGGTCACCGCGTAAAGTAACTAATGTTTTCATTTTTGTCTATATTCAATTGAAGAAAGTGAATCATGATCATCGTCTTGTAAAAGTTCATCTTTTCTGTCTATGCACAAGTTGCTTGGCGGTTGCCTTCCCGCAACAAGGTCTCAAGAAGTTTCAGTCGAGCTCGGAGGATCATCTACATCAGGGTGCACCTTCCAGGTCTGAAGAACCACTTTGAGACGTTGCAGCTGTCATTTCCGATATAAACTGCTTCCTGTATACATCACAGATCTTTCCAACTGCTTCGAACGATGTTTGATCTCACAAAAAGGGGAAATAAAGCAGATGTCTATGATATAAAATTGAATAGCGTTTATTCTGCTCGTAGGGGAGGTCAAAAATCTTTAAATGCTACGTGTCACTCGTTAAGAGCGACGCGTTTTAAAAAATTCAGCTCAATGGATGTTAGGTTGAATTGATAACATTAGGAGCCTAGCAACGCATTCTAACGCAGGGTTTCTAATGAATTGAATATAACAATTACTCTTTTTTACAAATAACTATGAGAATACTATTTATGCGGTGGATGTTGTAACATTGCGAAGTTCTAGTTCTCAGGAATCCTGCCGTGGAATTGTACGCTACTGACGTGAACGAGAATGAAGATTGAGGCGCATTTGATACCCCAATTACATATTCTGGTTGCACATTCAGCCCTGACTGTGCTTCGCCAGACAACGCTCTGAATGGTGATCTTAAAAAAAAGAAACAGTAACAGTGGACACCAAATAAGCATAGCGGAACCTCAAGTAGGGATTAGGTTGTTGAAAGAAGTATACGACTTCAACTGCTTATATGTGAATCATCATGTTAATCACTTCTGGTAAGCGCTGTATCTCGTACCCTCTCAAATCAAACAGGGCAACGTAGTTCAGAAACTTCGTCGTTTCTTCGGACAATCAGAAATTTACATCGCTCCGACGGTTGAACAACTATAATGAGACAATATGTGAGTAATTTATCTGTTTTTTTTACAGCAAATAGTCTGCTTTGACAAGGAACACTTGCAGCATGGAAGCTATGGCCCTAAACCAATAATAATCAGCAGCGTTTTTATAGTCTATTCGATTCTTTATACACTTTAGTTTTAATGCAAACGTAAAATTAATTTTGGATATCATTGCGCTTCTGTTTAATTTGATTGACTTGGTGACAACGGGCTCTATAGGCTAGTTTTTGGGTATACACCTATTACAGTACTTGCGATCTTTTATGTCGTAGTATGAGCACGTGACTGTTAAAAAAAAATAGGAAACCTTTATGTAATCAAATTATGGGCTTCTTTAAAAAAACCATAAATATTGCCCGCATCGAAGATCGATGTGAATAAACGCTGAAATCAACTGTTAAAAAGGCAAAATATTCTAGATAAAATGCTTTCAATGTACCTTATTGAATGTTTGTAATTTTGCTAAATGAAGATGAACAAGACAAAATATGATTCTTCTATTGCAGATGTAGATGAAAAGCGGTGCAGATGTGTGGTATGTACTTGTTTTTATGAGTTTACAACTTTAATAAAAGTACATTCCAATGTTTACGCGCAGCAACTTCTGTGTATGGGTATGATGCGTATAATGCTTGTTGCAGTTTTTGCTAACTGTTCTTGCTCCAAATGTATGGCTTGCTTTAAAAAAAAAATTAATAAAATAGAAGCTCAAACAAACTAAAATTTATACGCAAAACCTTTTTATGACAAGTCCTTGGTTTCGTCTTATTATGACATGGTTCTCGTTAGCTTGTGAGCTCATCCTTGTTTTATTCTATAGTTCATATACACATGAAAAACGGCAGCTTGAACACGTTTCTCTATCTAAAGCTATGCATAAGGACAGTACCAGGCGCAAGGACTGAAACATTTAGGTTTTTCCTAGACTAACGCTCGTCTGGGGGTGCCTCACAACCTCTTGAGACTTTTTGAACTTTATTACAAAAGCTGTCGGACACGTGCGTTTGACCTTAAGATGCAAACTTTCTGTGTCTCTCCGGCTGCGATTGATATTATCGTTGCCCTTTTAAGAAACACTTAAAATGCGGCTTTAAAAGCAATGCGGCGTTCACTATTCGGCTACATTTTCGTTAGTTGAATTCAAAACTAAATAACTAAATTAAATTCGCTCGCTATATATTTGTACATTTATATAATGTCCTTACATAAATTTGTAGCGTTGTTGGTCGCTGTTAGGCCTCGGTGTACGTAACGTACATAAAATGCTATTTCCTACGTAGACCGTATATAGATATTCGGCCGCCTTTTCGTTAGGCGAAAAAAATACTTATGAGACTACTGGAACCCCCGTGTAAAAGGAACTGCCGTTACGAAAACAATCAGCTTATAACCTTACTTTCGCAACTACTTATATATTTGCGAGATATGTAGATCGAGCTAGACTAGTTAAAGCGTTTTTCTTTTATATGTAAAATGAACATAAATTTTAACTGCAGTAGTAGAAGTTATAATAGATTTGAAAAACATAGTATAATTTATTAGCTTGTTACCTTATTGAAAAATAAACAAAATCACATGTAATCTAACTAAACATTATTATTTATAATGTTTTAGGCTTGACACAGTGGTGGAGGACTTTTTAGTGCCCTTGTTGTAACCAATAGAGAGGCGTAGTCCTACGGCAGGGCCTACCGAAGAAAGCCACGTAATCAGGTAATTGATCCTGAAAATAAGAAAAGAGTCGAAGATTAACAAATAGAGAGGATTCCGAGTAATTTAATTTCACTAGTGTTCTAAATGGTCTTCCATTTGGCGCAATGATAAAGTGTTTGGAAAATACAAAATTGTCTAGCTTTGGATTTGGGTATAGACATGTTTTGTAACTTATGCAGCGAAAATGTTGGTGTGTTGATAAGTTTTCGAATCAGCACTGTGGACACCGAACCCTGTTACAGAAGAACGACAACTTAAAGCCAGCTATGCAATAGTCAATTGCTTTGTTTTTCAATAGAATATGTTCAGCCAATGATCAGTTTCGCAAAATAGTATAGAATAATACTTCAGGGAATAATAGTAAATGATTTTGATTGCTTTAAACACCAAAGGTAGACTGGTTGGCTTCAATCGTGTATGCTGAATTTTCATCAAATTCAGCATACACGATTGAATGCCTAAGTACATAACGACGTATACCTTGTACGTTTGACTGCTATTAAACTGACTGTGTGAAAAGTTTCCGTTGGAGCCAACAGACGGCGCTAGCATGAAATCGGCTGCTCGTGCCTCGCTGAAATTTTCCAGGATTTTTGTTTCAACCATCAGACGTGTGTGTTCTGTTGTTTTCAGTCAGTCGTTGTCGGTAAAAGTGGTGACTCGGTACTTGATACGGAGCTCGAAGAGATGCATATTCGGCGTTGTCTTCTTCACTATTTTCGTGCTGGAAAAGTGTTGCCGAGACACAAAGAATTGTTTGCGCAGTCGAAGGCGATCGTGCAGTAACCTTTACCACTTGTCAGTTTTGGTTTAATTAATCGCTTTAGAAGCGGAGATTTCAACTTGAACGACAAACCACGTTCTGGGCGACCATAAGAAGCGAACGACGATGCACTGTGGGCACTCCTTAAACAAAATGAAGCGCAGTCGACCCGAGAGCTTTCTATACAGCTAGGAGTGTGCGAGAAGACCGTTGTCAATCGTTTGAATGCACTTGGAAAGATCAGAAAGGAAAGAAAGTGGGCAAACGGGTCGACAAATAGATTGCTTCCAAGGATGAAGCCTTTTCTTTCGCAGGTTACGCCAGCTCTTCATATCATAGAGACGGGCGACAGTTGTAGAAAGCAAAGGACACTATTTTGATTAAGATATATTCACCTATTCAAAGTTTCAATAAATTGAAATGACTAAAAACGACGAAAACTTTTTATCGACAACGACATATTCGATATTCGACACGTAACTGTTACCTTTTTAATGTGACTAAGTTATTCATCCATACAATTAATAACTGCAATACTTCGCGTGCTTATATAGAATCATAGATAAACATGGAATCGGCTTACGCAGCAACTAGTTAACGCGGTGGCAAGGTAGGCTTAACAACTTCTTTCCGACACAAAACTGAACGATCTTACAGAATGATACGTACTGAAATACTATGTGTCTAGTCATCGAAAACATTTGTTCCATACACAATTAAACCTCACAATATATATTAATACGGCATAGTCCAGAAGATATGCAAACTCCGTTATTTATTTATTGAGCTATCAAATTCTAAGGCGCAAAAACAGGTAGCTGGCATTGACAAAACAAGGTTAAACAGGAAAGTAGGTAATGCTCAGTTTGTTATTTATATCCAAAAATCTTATGCAAAATACGATAAGCGTTTGTGTGCCTGCAGCCATTTAACAACAAATGGTGTTGTCTTGCTGACTTCTTGTTCACCTCAAGTTACATAACCAATAAGATCATTAGCTTTAGAAGTTTATCTACGTTGTCCGGATCCCCTCAGCTGACGAGTTACTCATACTCGACATATACAGGGCGTTTGGGATAACTCCAGATAGAACTGATGTTGCTTGCTACATCTACGCGAAAACACATACTAGGAAGAAATTTTCCTTATGCGCACCTATATATGCTTATCTGGATGATTTGGTTATCGGTAAGTACTATATTCACTCGCTATTATTGGATACTGTTACTTTCTGCACTAAAATACTGGGATTATTTGAATCGACTTCTGTCAATTTCTAATAAATTATTTATTTTTCAATTTGGCTTTTTTTGTAAATTTTCAGTCTCATGAAAATCTTCGTCGAAGTTTTAAAACGTTACGCAACGATTTTGGGCAACAAGAGACGTATGAAATCTTTTTGGGGGGGCGGGGGGGGGGCATCGGACAATAGCTCATCTTTGGTCCCATCCCAAACACAAAATTCCAGCCCCTAACATGATGAGCTTGTCATTTGATTCTACAAGAAACTGATTATCTCTTAGTGCTAAGAGTATCTGGTAGCGACAAAAAATATATTTGAAATTATTCTGAACATGCTAAACATACCATTATATTTATTTTCCAAAGTTCTATGAAGGTCTGTATGTATGTGACTACAGTGATAGCTCGTAACATAACTAAGTGATTAATAAGAAAGTACAAATGCACCTTCGCTCGCCTTGGGCCTTAAGCAGGGGTCCCATGATCTCGTGAGTGTTACATGGGTGGAGCACGAAGTACGGTCGCCGAATTATCGGATGTTCCTGTCGTGTAACGGTGCCCCACATATCCTTCAATTCTAGATCCAGTACCTTACCCTCGGAGCAACACGCGGACCAAACGTCCTCTAGCGAAAGAGTTTCCCCGTCTGTAATTGTCGTCGGGCAGCAGTGCATCATAGTCAGCGATGTGATTAATATGCCGCAGCTTCAAACAGAATCCCGAATATATTAATATGATATTTTATTTAATCAAATAGGAACTTTTATCGAGAAAATGTTTTATAAAAATAATGCCGAAAGAGCTTAAAGATTAAGCAAGCAGTGAATGCGCAAATGTTTACAGGCTGATTTTACTCTCTGATGGTGTTAACGTTTAGAAGCAGTGTATGTTCACAAAGGCGGATTTTTCGTTCATATCTTTAGCTTCGTTCATAGCTTTAATCATTATTTATGAAAAAAATATATATAAAAATAATTTTATCGCTCATATCAATAATGACGGAGCGAGCATTCTAAAGTCAGAGATAAAGAATGAGTGAGATTAAGCGACAACTTCTTTGAACCTTCCAACTTTTTTTTTGTTTCGAACACACTAATGTAACATATATTAATACCTGTGTCTGATGTAATGCTCACCGATGATTTCTGACCTAATATTAATTATTCCTTATAAGCATGAATAAACATGCCTTCCATTAATTAACTAACTACTAACCGTAATATAAGAAGGTAGAAAATGAGCTGTCTTTAGGTTTAGTTTAATGTCGTTTAGGTAGGTCTTACTTGAATAGCAAATATCAAAGTAGAGGGCGGGCGCTTCGAACGATAAGCTGTAGGCGACGTTGTATTCCCAGCAAAGGAGGTCGCCATTGGCCTGTAGCGGTGCTTCTTGAGGATCGGTGATTTCGTCGGCTTCCCTATGTCGAGTACGAACCGAAGTACTTTTTTCCTTTATAACCTTCTTAACAAGGTAAACATTTGCGGGGTTCCCAGTACCGATCTTCAATGATTGATTTTATTTCGTTACAATCGGTGTTAGAGAGAATAACAGACACTGCATACACAATATAGGAACACTGAAGACCCAAAAACATGCTTCTTTCTTATTTAGTTTTTTTCGCATTACGCTTTTTTTCAGTATTAACGTCACCTTTTACTGTACCGTCAATATGGTTAAAACGTAAATAACGGAGAAGCCTTCGTTGATTCGAGCAACTGTCAAGAGCCTTGAAATAGCTCAAAGGCATAATACAGTGAAGTTTTCATAGTCGAGAAATGCTCTAATGAGCGCTATGAGCGTTTTGGATTTGTATAAATTTGCTTTTGTTGCGTCATGTATTTAAAGTGTTATTAATTTGGTGACTGAATCACTAACTGAATTTGTTACTATAATAACCTAACGTCTTTTCTTTACTCTAGAAATCTTATAGTTTATTAAGCGTATTGACGAGTTACCCATAGTTCAGGCGGCGATGTTGTCTGAAGGCAAACGCGCATCTCTTTGAGTGTATTGCCGTAACAACCATAAATATGCAGCCACCGCTGATACAAATTTGAATATTAACGTATAATTACCATGCCATTTCATAAATCTATTAGAAAAACCTTTGATAGGTCCAGCACGACCTAGGCAGTTTAGTGGGGGCAAGTTTTCGACGCTATAAAGGAGAAGCGATTCCGAAGACTTATTTACATAGCAAGAGCAGCCAAGAGTATTCAAAGCGTTTCAAAAATTATCAGAAGGTGAAAAGTAAACAAAATACCGGTTTGTACCTCAATAGATGACAGTGCCATGCTCTGCACTGTTACAGGTTTAAGTTACAGGTTTTAAATAAAACCAGTAATAGACTGTTGAGCGCGAAGTGCTGTTGTGTTCACGCACTTGCCGCATCAAACGCCAAACCCTGTGGGCCGATGGGCTGCCTCCATCTCGATAGTTAGCTAAGGGCGTTTTCTTTTGTATCTTTACTAGTTCCCCGCGGGATACTTAAATCAAGTTATCAATCCACCAATTGGGGATTGGCCTAGCTAACCGACTTCACTTTTCTCTTTTCCTTCACTACATTGTATCTATAGTAGAATGTACCAGCCGCGCACAAGACGCGGCAGTCCGTCACCAACGACAAGTAGCCTCGGGCAACGTCAAATTTGTCGGTTTCGAAACAGCAACTTCTCCCACCTTTAGGGTGAAGTTTCGGGAAATTTGGTAGACTTGGTTTGAACAATACTTGCAGAGAGAATAAGTTCTTCCGGGAGCGTTGTGTTGGCCGCATTGCCGACCCACCGGCCAGCTTTACTTCGCACTCTCATTGAAAGTTATCTGGGGAAGATCTGCTAGAGGGCGCTTCATAAGGCCATTTATTCTACAATATTTACCATGAGCGGCTGGCTTCCGCCGTCCTTTAGCAAACTAAAGAGATAGTTCCGTTGAAGCCTTGAAGCAGATTCTCGTTAAGACCATACAGCAGAGTTATGTATGCTAACTGTGTTATTATAAGGTTGAGGAAGGATCTTGTGAATCGGCCCATCATGTGGAAAATAACTATGTCGGGCGACAAGTTTTTGTAATGAGCCTAGTCTATGGCTTGCCAGGTTATCACATTTCGTTGTTTAGTTCGGCAAACAAGCACGGTCGGCGTGGATGTTGCAACAAAAACATAATCTTACGTAAGCTCTCAAAACTGCATCTACATAAAGTTTAATTGAACAGAAACTCATCACTATAGTTACACTACTGATACAAAGCCGGATAAAGCTGTACGAAATTGCATTTCAATAAGTTAACACAGTATGTCAGAAATATTAACTAGTTCTTTTTTTTTTGTTTTAATCAGTAAAAGCACATTCAATTACTTCGGCGTGATATATAAATGGTTTACAGTGATAATCGCCCAACTTGTCGACATCGAGTGCGTTCATAGACGCAACATTCTTGAAGACCTGTGTTAGTAGTTCTTATTATACTTTATATGCCCATAGAAATGGAAGCGCGCAGCAACAGGCATCAGCCCTCAGTCCAATCCGTCTACTGTAACACTACTGCTGGATACAGCTTCTTCTACCCAGCAAAGAACAGCAGACATCCCATGAGCTGCTGATCCGGAATCGCCCTCGATCTGCCATCAGTCTATTGGTTGGCAACGCAAATGGCGTATGTCGGAAGTGCCGATGAGAGAGAGGGTAGCAAATACAAGCGCCAGGCGAGGGGTAGATAAGTGATTCGGTGGAAAGGGGATTGAACGATCGTTCAAATACCCCCTCCCCCCTACCCACCGCTGGGTTTGCCCCTTGGTTGGTTAGGCGGCATGTTGTTCCCCTCAGGCTTCCCAACCATAGACCCAGCCGAGGCACATCCTAAAACTCCTCAGCCCCCCTGTCTGCCTGCCTGCCTGAACCCCGTCCATCCTCCGATGCGTTCCCTGTTCTAGTCGATCTCTCTCATTCACCAAGTGAGTTCCCTTTCACCTCCTTCTCACTGATATTTTTCCTAGATCACTCTCCTCCGTTCTTCCTCCCTCACTTCTCGTCGCCAACGTCTCCCCTGGCATCTACCGTCTTTCTTCGCCCCTTGAACCCCACAGCCATCCTGTTTCTATTTCGCCCACATTTGCCCTATCCCATTTTGCCCCATGCCATTCTCCTCTCCTTTTCTGTGTTTTCTTCATCACCGACTTGCTGCCTGTGGACCGGTGGCACGCTGCTGCCCCGCCGTCCTGCTACCGCTTCGGCCTCCGCATCGCTCCGCTTAGGCTACTTGACGCGGCTGGCGACCGACCGCCCCAGCGACCGAACGAACAGCGGACCGATCGGCCAAGCAAGAAGGCAGGCAAGCGACCAGGCAAAGGGGCAAGACAGCGTGGAGAGAGGAAATGAGCAAGGAAACGATAGAGGAAAGAAAGATGAACAAGGAGAATTGGCGCCGGAAGAGGGGCGGAGGTTGGGGGCAGGGGCAAGAGACAGCAGTGGCAGGATGAAGTAGCAAAGGAAAGGGAAATGGAACACGACTAAGAGGCGGTGGGCGAATCTATGGAAAGGGAAACAAACAATGGGGAGAGGGCAGCAGCAGCGGATGAAGGGAAGTGGAAGAAAGGCGCGGACGCCCCCTGGGACATCTACTCTGCCACCGCTACTGGCGCCACCACCACCACCGGTCTCTCCTCCGCCTTCCACGACCAGCAGCCCCCCACACGAGACTCAACCCTAGAAACCCCGGCCGCCACGGGGTTTACCGTTGGTGGCTGAGCTCCATGCTGCCTGGTCGTTCGCTGTTTGCTTGTTCACCGCCTGCTTGTCTAGTCCCCATTTGCCCTTCATGGCGCCGAAGTCTCCGTCACTGCAAGTCGTTGGAGCTGCTACTGGTAGAGTGGAGACAGGAGGCACACAGGGGGAACTGTGACGCAGTGCACTAGCCGAAAAGGGGCGAACAGGCGACCGGAGAGAAATAAGATGGGCTAAGGACAGAGTGGGACAGAGAAAGGGGGGAAAGCCGAGAGAGACCATTGGCGGTGGATAATGTAGAGAAGAAGTCGGCTGTATGGAAAGCTGCCCCTGGGGTCGTGCTCTGGGACGCGCCGGTTGAAGGGGAAGGTGAGGGATAAGGCGAAGTTGGGCGAAGGGTGATGGAGGGAGAAATGGATGACGATGCCCCAAACAATCGGGAAGGCAAGGGGGAATAACTAAGGGCGGCTATAGGGCAGGGGCAATCGGGCTTTTCTTTCATCCGGTTCCATATTGTTTCCCTGCAGCTTAGCCCCTTTCGCCCGTCAGTCTCCCACTTAAAGGGAGAGACTGCCGAAAGGGGAAACAGCTTCGGAGATGGTGACGGCCCCCGCTCGTCCAGCGGAGTCTCAGGCGACCGAGTAGCCGCTGGGCGCGCTACTCATCAAAACACGTGTGTCCCTTTCAGCGCATGTGTGGAGAGTGGGAAAACTCGGGGAGGGCCTAACGGCCACCGTACGCGTGTATGAAGTATGTGTGTTCTTTAGTGTGCCGCTAAGTTGAAAAATAACCCAACTAAATTATTTGAAGATAAAATTATAACTGAATATTGTTCTTTTAGCGGAAATAGAATTGTTTTTGGTGAATTGCGTCATTTCAACCAATAATAAGCCAGCAAGAGAGTAATACATGTAGAGCGCTTTAACGACTTAACTAATCTACTAACTAAAGTTGGAGAAAAATTATACAAGTATGACTCCTTTCGCTGCATTATGGTCGGACAAAGGGTCCTCTTCCCAGGCACGGTTTTCCCAAGTCCACCTCTAATATAATCGGTTATTATTACTTACAATAAAAAGTTATGATTAAATGTAGTTCTTCTTCATTACGTTTTACCTTTTGCGAGCCGCCAAAAATGCCTGTCCGCCGGCTTGGCTAAATCATACCATCAGCCATGTATAGAGGGCCCCGTAAGCCCCACTGCTCTCGATCTTTTTACATTCTAGATTTTATACGAATCTACACACACGTACATATAAAACCTCATAAAAAGCAATCTGTCGTATGCGCGGTTTGCATAGCTTGTATGGTACACTGACTCTCTCTAGCCAGTCCAGTAAACAGAGAGGGCGAGCATAGCGATAACGTTTGCGTCGATGAAAAAGCGAAAAAAAAAAATAGAAGCAAGATGTATAAACGGTGTGTAGGCCTGCACATCGGCCATGTGAAAGTCCTTCGCTATTTGAAATCACACAGCTAGCAAGAGCTAAAACAGGAGGATTCGTGGCATCGAAAAACTAACGCACACTAACCTCATGGCCATCGTACAGTTGCCAGCCATCATCAAGAGAATGGGATATAGAAGCAAAGTCCCTGGCAGCTACAGCAAACTCATCCGGAGTCAAGCTCATGGTTAGATCTGAAAGTGACAACACAACACAACATTAGATTTTTACTTAAAACTAGAGTACAATAACCGGTTATTGTGAGTATATAAAAAGCAACAAACCTATACAGAACTTATACAGAAGGTAAAGTAAGTAATTCAGGCAGCTTAAGGTCGAAATGTCCTTTTTTACAGACATGTTAGCTCAACAGGATATGCTCAATTTATTATTACTAGGATTTGCCAATATGGAATTACATGTGAAGTTTAGTGAGGTTAGAAATCAATATCCATTTAATATGATATGGTAGCTTTTAGGTCAGTACTGAGTGCAGAAATTAACCATGTGTATCACCGAAATAAAGTTAGAATAGTTTCGAAGACTTAAAATAATGTGTCACTAGCTCGAACCTTATATACGTTTTTTTCAGGACTACCATAAGCTACTGCCAATAAATTTACTTCTGTGTTATTTTTCAAAAACTTCAACAAAAGGTCTATTCAAAATTGCTTAACAAACTAATATAAATTGTAAAAGTACTAGTTTCAACAGTTCAGCGCCGATGATGATATGTCCTTTGAATTAATACAGCCCTAAGGTTTTCTCGTTCTGTCAGATCGACACAAGTCAATGTTTCTTGTAGAATACATTTTTAAGCATAACAGATACTATATTCTATGTCAACTCACAATTTTAGAATGCTCATTTCTTTGGTTCTTCGAAACTTTCTCGGCAGAAGTACAACTCACGTTATGCATATCGTTTAAGCAAAACAAAATGCCGATGTAGTTATGCTCAGTTTCTGAATGTTGCAAATTTTGTAAATGCAAATCTGCACGTTTGACTTTAACTAGTCGATGATGAAATGCGCCCTAACCAAATTTGGAAGTGACGGCGAACTACTGAATAATTCGAATTTTATACAATGTATGTCTACTAAAAGGTCCGGTGGATGTAGAATGGTAAAGTTTATATATATATATATATATATATATATATATATATATATATATATATATATAATATAACTATGCCGAGTGTAAGAGGGGCAACTTTCTGAGATTGAGACATTGATTGCCTGAAATTGCCTAGATCCATTGGGCCTGCATCGTGTACCAGAATAACCATTACATCTCATACGGATCCCACATTTGAATTGTACAAGTTAAATGTGAGCTTATTCCAGACGACTCTAAATATATGTATTATGAATTGATATAGTTGAAAATTGACTTTTCTTGCTTACAGGGTCGTATGGTTAGTAGCGCTGTACCATGCAAAAAACCATACAGAGCGAAAGTATGCCTGTCGAACATGTGCATAATAGGCCTACACTCTACTTAATATTTTCATGGCACATAACACCCAAAATAAGAAGTATGCTCCACACAATCTTTGTTAGCTCTTTCTTTTACTGGCATCAATTAATCTTTGTGCTATTCAATGAAGAAAATCAGTCAGCAAATGATATATGTGTAACTATGTGTAACACAAATATATTGAACTGCGTCTCTATAGTTTAATCCAGGACCATTATAGAGTAACTCAGCTTTCTGCCATTTAGCCTCCATTTTCGGCTCCTTTTACTGCATATTATAAACCTCAAGACGTAAAAACATTATTTATATCTAACACCAAATAAAAGACTAGCAAATGGTTGCCAACAGACCACAGAAGTAGCCTTTTCTCGTATCTAACAGAAAAACATAGACTCCTATTTTGTGCATAGTTCCCTCCTAGATCTTATTCTTTCCTCAGTGCCGTAACATGATAAACGTTATGCAAATGTGATTAACCTGTAATGCTAGCGTCTTCAAAACGTTCCACTAAGGTTGACATCATATATGTGTTAGGTATGCTTCCTCACAATTAAATAAACTTCCTTTTAAAGTCAAAAAAATGCTTTTAAAAGGAAGTTTATTGAAAATGTGAACATGTTATCGTATGTGCGATACTAATTGAAAATTATTTTAAAATCCGTACTTCGGAATAGTTTAAGATTACTCTGTATCTAGCTCATTACAGTACACACAGTCCAAAAGACCCCCTCTCTATGGTGCTTATAACGTATACAGGGACGTGTTTCACATTCTACAAAACTATATGCTATGCAATACCGAAAGAAAGCTATAAGCTCGTGATGGCTGAGGACCTCATAAAACATGAAAGATCTGAAAATGAGGTTGAAAAATAAAATTGGCCAACTGTTTTCAGAATGGTTAATTATTACTGTAAACGACAAGGATGTAATTATCAATATAAAATATATATAGCGCAGTATGGCACCACTTATGATGTATCCTCAAAAAAATTCTAAAATCAAGGATAAATCATATATGTCTACTAAATATAATAGTACATGACAAACAGTTTTAGCTTAGAGACCTTTGGAAGCCGTATTTTTACAACATAACTAATAGGCAACAACGTACTATGATACGGCTGAATCTAAGCTAGCAGGGTTGACAACAGCGAAGTCTCATCAGCAAAAAAGACGTTCCAAGTCCCCTAGATTTTAGTTGCGGTGTAATTCAATCAAGATTTTGCACGAAATTTTTTTTAATGCGCCCCCTTTATGAACCAATTGTGAGAGATTTGACGTCGACCATCGGACAAAAAAAATCAGTACTTGGAATCATAGTCTGAATTTTTCGCCCATAAATTTATAAACAACAGAAATCGCTTTACAAGAAAGAAAATAATAAAAACCTTTTGTTTTTATTTCTAATGTAATAGAATTAATGACTTGACCATTTTTTAAATAAATTGAACTTTTATCGTGTTATAACTGGCAAACGTTGTCAATACAGTTTTATTTCTTTAGCTTTAGCTAGCTCCTTAATTCGGTTTACACTATTTCAAAGTCAGAGTTTTGTGTTGAAAGGGTGCTGCCTCTGTTCGACCTAAACCGTCTGCTTTCTGTTATAAATCCAAATAACAATATATCGACAGAGACACACTGACCCTCATACCGACCCTTCCCTGATGGACACCAACTATGGAATCAGCACCTCTATACTATATGCGTACAGATTTACGTCGACACCAAGCAGACATTTTACACAGCTCGCAACCCCCGCGAATCCTTACCACGGAGGTAACGTGTTATACGAGCCCGAATTAAATTCGCCCCTCTGTCCTTCAAAACGGAGCCCCAGTGATATAGGACTCATTGTTTGATTCCAATATGCAACGGCTTGCATTTTGTTTATTTATTTTTATAAAATTGATTCAATAAAGCTAATTCGATAGAAAAGACGAGAAGTTTGAATCTCCCTTTTAATTTCTTTCTTCTTTCAATTACACGTTATTATCTATACAAAAAGCATATTTACTGTAAACGTCAAAGAAATAGGTACTTAATAAATTAATCTCCATTTGTTGATGTGTTTTCCACGAACACCTTGTGTGGTTGAAAAAGAATTAATGCACAATCAGATTATTGTAATTAGATAGTTTATCCAATAATATGTTCAATTTTTTTACACATAAGCGTTAACCTATTGGAGTCTTCGTGGTTTCGCCGATCAAGATACTTCCAGTTAAGCACATGTCCCTACAACCCAGGTGTTTTCTTAGCCTATATCAGAGACACTTAATCTTTCGGGAAGCTTGTCCGTTGAGGCTGTATTCCGAATTCTTTCACAAGACCAACAGCCCATGTATTGAATAGAAAGAGTAAATATTTTTAAACAACCAAAGCTTGTTCATCGCACCTATCATGATTTCTCTTAGGATATGGTTAGCAATTACAACGTTCGGTGAACCAAAGAGCTAGCCGTGATAGTCTCGCAATCGCGGTGGCGTCCGCGTTAAAAAATAAATAAGCATTTTGCATTTTGGTCTTCCCAACGGTGAGCTTTTATACCAAACATTAAAAGGGACGATCTACCTAACACAGCCCAACAAGGTTTTGTTGCACAGCGTTTTATCTTCATACACTTGTTATGGATAAGTTGAAACCGAGCATAATATAAAATTCGGGCACAGCTTTTGATTTTATATGTTTTGGCCAGAAAAGTGCTGTCAGCAGTGTATGTCATAGTCTGTTATATCTAGGTATTCATGACTCCAGGGTAAAGTGGTATCATTCTTGTTCCTCTAGTGAAGGTCAACGACGACCTGAACCAATCTTGTCTACCAACCTTTGGCGTTCCTCAAGGAAGCTGCGTTTCTCTATTGCTTTATGTTACTCTTATTTTAGGCATAAACCTACAACTAATCGAGGATATAAACCCGAAAGAGAGATATATCACAACATTTTGAAAACTTATTGTTCATTTGTGATTTGTCACTCCTATAGATGTTGCTACGGGCGGAGACGTCCAGCGGTGCTTCGAAACTACGATGCTTCTTTTGAAAGAAGAGCGCGGAGTTTAAACGAAGGGTAATTTTGAAGCATAACTACGAAGGTGATGATACTGTGCTTCCTCCGACGACAAACCATAACGGCCAAATAATTGCTTACATATTGGAAATGAGTTATCTTGCCGTATACTATATCCCGCCTCTACAATCACTGTCAGTCTATTCTTATCACGATCTTATAAAGGTATATTTTACTCAAGTTCTACAAACTTAATGAAGGCAACCAGACTTTACATATGCCTTATCCAAAGTTAGCTGTGCCATACAAATTATGTTAAGACGCATTCATTGACACATTTACATAAATGAACAGGAATGAGCAGACCCACGCAGCTGGTAAATTAACTAGTTTTCGCCAATATGAAAATGTTGCTCCGTGTTAATATACAAATAAAAAATCAATAAGCAAAGTCCGAAGAGTTTGTCCAGGCGATTCAGATGAATGTTGCAGCGGTAGAGGACTCCACCAAAAGCACAAGACTGGTATTAAGTAATTTGTTTTTCACGGGCTATTGTTTATTAGTACCAGCAACGGAAGTGGCAGCTTAGTTGACCACTCGAAATACATAGTGCATACATCAACAGGTTGTTGTGGCCAAGTGTTATCAAGCACATCCTGCACATGGCATGTTCGCTACGAGACGAAACCGTTGAGGGCCACAGACTCTCATCAGTGCTATTAAGGCTGCCACCACGAAACGCAGGTCATCAGGAGCGCATCAACGGGACTCGACCGGGAGGCACGGCATCGGAGTCCATTGGGTGGGGACCTTCCCTATTATAATTTTCGACTAATATAGGGGCTACCGCGCACTGACAGCTAAGATTACTGTAGCAATTATCAACGGCAGGGTGTTACGCAATTGATGACCTGCTTCCTGGGCGACAGCTTATGATGACGTGCCGTACACTCTTCGGGATTATTGGCAAATAACATGCTTATGCAACCTGATCTTGATCTATTCATTGACAACACCGCGTGGTTAAGGGGATCCTGGGGGAGGGAGTCACGTGCCGGGATAATGTTGAATTCGCCATTCGAAGCAAAGCAGAAAGGGATTGTCAGATCAGAAACGTCAGGTGCTGCTTAAGATAAAGTACAAAAGCTTGGCAGGGTGAAAGAGCCGACCTTGTGGGCAAGTCCTATTCGTCACGTAAGGAAGTGATGAGGGTTTGCCAAAGAACGTTTGGCGCAACGGGTCGGATGTAATCGAGACCGAAATTCTTAGCAAGTTTGAAACCGTGTCTTAAAGTCTTCCGTTCGATGTTACCATTAACTATTATTTTTAAAACGGCTGATTTTTCAGATTTAAAACAAGCTGTGTCTGTTAACGCTTCATTTTGAGTGAAGACTACCGCATGCATCGCTCGATTAGGTAGGCCAACATGTTAGCTTTGTACCGTCACGGCGGCATGTAGTCAATATTTAACGTAATTAAATAAACAAAACGCAGGTTGTAATAGAAATACAACTGAGTATTTTCTACGAAACGCTGTTCGAAATGTTTAAAGCACCTAGGTAAGGATTTGAAAATACGTTTGGAGTCTGAGCCCAGTTGGGAAAGATAATGGTCTAAAGGTCATTCACAATCACGAAAGTTTCCCGGGTTCAGCATTTTTCGGTCCTTTAAGTGTTCACATTTTTTTAACATTAAATAAAGAAAGCAAACGGTCTAGCGGCAACGTTTTAAGCTTCTTGACTGGTTTTAACATCATACACAGATTCCAAGATATATTAAATGACATGGTCTAAGTCATTGCATCAATCTCTTAACTTGGTTTAAGCTAGATGAATTGAACAAAAATATTTCTAATTATATACGCGTTTTACTTTCCATTTTTTAGTCAGTTATAGCTAAATTCTTTACCCCTCTATTAAACTTATATGAATATTCGAAGCTAATCTGATGATAGTTTGTCAAGTAACCATTGAAATTTGCGATGTGTCGAACACAATTCACTACTATCGCTATTGTTCTACTGATTATTTTGCGGCATACCGATTCCTATAAATCCGGTGCATACGATCGTTTTTTCTAAATGGCCATTGGCTTTATCGTATTTACTCAAGCTGTGTTGTTAGACAAAGTTCTCCAAATCTCCCCATCGTAGTTCCTGTACTCGAAGCGTATGTTAGAATGGATTCTGAATTGTTTGCTTAAGAAATCTGGACTCCTGTTCGTTTACTTAGCTATCTCTCGAACTAATCGTACGTTTCTTGTTAAAAATATCTCTGTAGGCAAAGAAGAAAGCGTCTCCAACAGTCTTTATCTATTCATATGATATTCCAAGCTATAGTAATGATAGTCACACGAAATTTTTCAGTTTAAGATGTCTAAACCCAAATTTTGGATTGTATCATTCTGCATGGCTTTTTCGAGTACATTTTGGGCCTCGGGAAGATTCAACAACTTGATAACTTTTTATTTGGCGTTTTTTTTTCAAGTAGTTGCCGTCTGCCTTCGCAAACTCAGCTCCAGTTATTTCTAACAAATTCTAAAAGGCATTTAGAAAAATATCCTCGAATCTTTAAAAAATATTAGTCGCATTTGAACATAACTATACACAGTTAAAAATTACCTGAATAGCCAACTTATGTTTGCCTTCATCAAAGATTAATCTTATTTAAATTGCACTGTTGTAAATTTCTAAGCTAATTTTTCTAACCTTTCGTGGCTTTTTTATGTTTGCAACGTGTATCTAGAGTCTTCGTGTAGAAGAAGAGCGGCATGCCTTTGGTCTACGATAGATGAACGTCGCTCGCAGATACACTTTTATTTTTACATAGATTTGTTAAAATGAATTTAAGTTTAAAAAAAACATTTTTATATGTTGCTTCTCTATAACAGTTCCAACAAACTTTTGCACGTTTGAAATGCCTCCCGTTGCCTCGTCTCGTAACTACTTTAACCTTACCAAGCCATTGGAAAGAATCTATACACTGTAAAACATGAGGGCGTTATAAGTATAATAATCAGATAACTTGTTGCAGCATTAGCCCGAAGTTCTGAAACCTGGCTGACAGGTTTTGCTAATAATTAATTGCATTTAGAAGCTGAAATGTATATAATATTTAAAAAAAAAGAATTGACTTTTTAATGAAAATAACAAACGAATAATATATGTGTTTATTTCGTTGAGAACTCCCTCAAGAGATCTTCAGACAGTAAAGTTATTGGTCTTTGTCCACTGCAAAACACTATATATCATAAAAACAAACAATGGCTGACTTGCTTTATCTTTCATCTAAAAGTCAAGCAGTTTCCTAAAAACATTTTGTAGATTATATGTAAAAATTTTATCAAAATTGTACGCTTTAAATAACGAGGTCTTATATGAATATTCTAAATATGAATAGGAGAAAAAGAAGCGTGAAAGAATTTTTTTAATGTGATTTGTCACACAATTACGGTAATATCTAAGATCAGCCATTTTTAGTGTTCAACGATCAGCCCCACTCATACTATGCTCTGTTCTGTTGTAAATGCTTAATAAAACTTCGTCTCCTGCTCGAATATCAATTTTGCTATGTACCTCTTATTATGTCTCATCTCAATGACTAAACTGGCGTGATTCATTTTACTGAATTGTGTCATCATAGGTCAGCAAAGTAAACATCTAAACAGGCTATCTCGAAACTAAATAGCGTTACGCGCCACCGCTGGTTATGACAGGTGGAATAAACATAAGCAAGCACGAACCGGTCACGTGGGGTAGCCGCAGGCGATCAATTCCTAAGATTCGCGCAAGAGATCCCGCACGCACGGCGCCGCCACTGGGTCTGAAAACAACAGTCCGACATCGACAACGACGCCGGCAGCGACAGAGGCCGGAAAAGGGGAGGGTTCCGCGTGGAGCGGACGGGTCGAGCGGTCTTATTTCAAGATCACCGCGTTTACTCGACCTGAATCGACTACATGCCAATGCAAACGATCTGAAATGAATTTTATCATCTTCAACGATTAGACGTAGAAGATAGTATGAATAGGTCCTGAAGGCCTACCCGAAGTTTCCGTCTCATCAACTAGCAGACGACGCACAGGGCATTGTCGCCCATAGATGACAAATGCAGATTAACCGACAGCGGTATCGTTGGAGTACCGTATTATTGAAAGTCGATTTCGCTAAGAAAAGGACGACATTCATTCACATCTGTTTGTACAGCTGTTCCCGTATTCTATATGTAAATAAAGCTAGCACCCTATGCAGCCAATGGAAACGTCGCTGTTATTTGTGACGTCACCACGTTGATGTATAGAGGGCGCTGCGTGTCTCGTTTTTAGGGTTGTCTAGGCGCGCTGCGTTGCTTTAAAAGAGAAGAATGAGAAACTGCGAGTAGATGAGAGAGAGATATATATATAGAGAGAGAGAGAGCGCGCACCGAAGATTAATTCTTCTTCAGGTTACCATAGCAACGTGCTTGCCTCGTTTATACTGCTGAGCGGCGGGCGGGAAAAAGCGTCTGGGAGAGGAGGTGACCGAGGCCTTCGCCGTGTGTTGTTGTTGTTGTTGCTATGTCTGTGCATGTGTATGTTTAACCGCGGTGTATCCATCGCTCACTGTGTTTCTGTATAGGGAAATGCGTTGACCGTGCGCAGATGTCTGCCTGTGTGCGTATCTAAATTCGACCGCCTTGTTGGCGCGGTGGCACTGATCAGCGGCGCTGTGGCTGTAAACGCAGTGAAGTGTGCGTGTGTGACTCTGTCTGTCCGGGTGTCCATGTCTACGACCTCCTCGCTAGCGGTGGTAGTAGCAGCAACAGCGGCGGCTGACGGCAATAGCGCTGTGGATGCAAGGCTGTAGTCGTATGAACGCGTGCCTGCGTATCTGTGTGCGACTAGCCGACCGGCTGAGCGGCTCCGTGAGTCCCCCAAGTGAGTGAATCTAGCTGCATGTGTATGTGTGTGTATTTCTCTCTCTCTCTCTCTCTCTCTCTCTTTTTCTTGTACTATCCTTTTTCGTGTATGCTACTTCGCGTTGCTTTTGTGCCGGCTAACTGCTCTATGATTGTGCTGGCGCCCTAGCGTCGCTCGTTGTAGTATGTGTTACGAGCAGCAGCAGCCGCGATAGCAGCGGTTCTGCTAGTGGTGGTTGTAGCGGTAGCCGCAGCAGTAATCGCAACGGCGGCATCGGAGCGCCGCCCGTGGCCGTCTTTCACCGAGAGCTGGGTCTGCGTTTGTCTGCAGTTCGCTTAACACCAACAGCATAAACAGCGCTCTGTGCATAGACTGGCAGCTCCGTTAGTTATTATTGATTTAGCACGATGAGCGGCCGCGGAGCTCTTGGCTCACTCTGGCCCTTTGTGAGGGCAAATGAAGCTGACGGTCGCGCTACGGAACGGCGACGTTAAGGCAACGCAAGCGAGCAAGCAAGCCAGCCAGCCTGCTATAGCGGCACTACTGCCACGCAAATGTTGGGGTTGATTCTGGCAGAAGCAGCGCCACCAACGTCGTGTGCCGAACAAGTGACAACCCCCCATAAACCGTGAGCTGCCGCTGTGCTCCGCTAGGAACGAGCGCCAGCATTGGCATGGGTGATGGTGGTAGTGTGGCTTGAAGTTCCTGCTGACAGCAGCCGCAGGGCAGCGGGCGGCAGCGAGCAGACCGGGCTATCCTGCTGGTAGTTGTGGGTGAGGACCAGTGGCGGCGGTGGCAGCAGCAGCAGCCCAGGGTGGTAGTAGTCCTGCTGCTGTCGGTGGTGAACGAGACTTGTCTCAGCTCCCAACTGGCCCTGGCCGCCAGTCGCTACCGTACAACTGTGGCCAAACAGTCACAGCAGGCGAGTGAACGGGTGGCCAGCAAACAACTATCGCCGGCACCACTGACGCCACCAGCGCCGCCATCAGCAGCGGCGGCGGCGAATGTTCGTTGCGAGTGGGAGCAGCGGGTCGTGGCGGAGCCAATCGTGTAGCGAGCGACGATAGCCAGCAGTCTGGCGCAGGCAGCCAGGCGGGCAGCAGGCGCACAGCAATTCGAGGAAGAAAAAAGAACAAAGAAACTTAGGGAGAAAAAAGAGAGAGAGAAATAGGCAGACAAAAGAATATAGACAATAACAAATTCTATATTATACTTACTAACGACACGGTGCCGGCAGCGGAACCAGCCGAAGCTTTACCAACAGCAACTAGCAATAAAAGCTGTTTGACAATGACGCGGATCGACGTTCCGTTGCAGTAACAGCACACAGCAGCGACGCTGTGCTTTTGCTCATTGCAGTAGTCGTGACAGCAGCGTGACAACATACATGAAAAAAGGGAGAGTAACAGGCCGGTAGAGAGCAGCTGTAGCAGAAGACGCCAGCCGCACTACACGCAGAGCAACACACAACAGTAACAGCGGTGGTAAAACTGTGCGAGCGCACGCCGAGTGAATCTGGTATTGGATACAGATACAACGGTACGACGTGCGGCGTTTGTTATCGTCACATCGAGCATACAACAGCCAACAACAACAACAGCAGCAGCAACAACAGCAATTGTAGCCATAACAACAACAGCAGCGCCGAGAGTGTTGTTATAGTGTCTGTCGATCTGTTTGTTTGTCTGTCTGGCTGTCTGCCTGTGGGACGACAGCACAGGAACGGGCTGTCGACGACCGTCAGACGCGACGGCTTCGACGGCCACAAGCGAAATAGGAGCAGCAGCAGCAAAGCGCAAGCAACAGATAGACACACCACGGTAAGAAATCTGAAGGTAGCCAGAGAGTGTCCGTCTGCGTGTGAGTGTATTTCTGGGAGAGCTTGAGTTAGTGCAGTAGCAGCGTTTGCCGGGTGCTTGGCCGGCCAGCAAACGAACGAGTAGCGGACAACTAAGCAAGCAAGCAAGCGGGCGAGCTCGACATTATCGTCATCGTCGTCGTCGTCGTCGTCGTCGCCGCCGCCGCCGCCGCCGCCACCACCACCGCCGCCGCCGCCGCCGCCGCCGTGGCCGCCGCCGCTGCCGCTGTCGTCGTAGAGAGAAAGAAGGCTGCCTGCCGGGACAGCAAACATTCGCTGGCGCCACAGCAACAACAGCAGCAGCAGCAGCAGAGAGGGTGGTGAGCCGAGTTACTATGACCACTACTACTACAACTACAACTACTAGTACTACTACGAGACGGGTCGAGGAGTCGACGGCCAGCAGCAGCAGCCGACGAGAACAACACAAACGACGACTCCAGTTGTTGTGCTGCTGCTGATCGGTTACAGCGGCAGTTGTGCTGCTGTGAGTGCTGGAGCTGGCGGAGCTGCTGCTGCGGTTCGACACAGGCAGACAGCAACACACGGGAACAACAGACAACGATATCGCGAATCGCAACAGCTCAGAAAAGGGCGATCGCAAAAGGCTACCGGACAGCGGACCGCACAGACCCACCGTGAAGGCGAAATAGGCCGTCTAATTCGCGAGTCGGGGTTGGGTGCCACGACAGGAGTGACGAAATTGGCTGCGGTGAGTTGGGAGTTTACATTCGATTTAGGAGTTTTCGGCGGCATCGGCAGCAGCTGTGAACCTAACAGCAACAACGATGACAGTAACCACAGCTGAATAAATTGACAAAACCCGTTCGTGCGACCACTACTTTGTTGAACCGTAGTGTTGATTGCCGCCTGTAAATCCCGGACCGACACGTCTCTGATCTCTGCTTGCGTGTCTCCTTCACTGCACTCGGTGTTGATGTTAATGGAAATAATCGTGTCATGACGAGCGGTAGCAGCAGCAGCAGCAGCAGCAGCACGAACAGCAGCGGTCGTCCGTATGAGAGTTACAAATCATAATCGCAGAAGAAGGAAAGATAATGATTAGTGTGATGTTAACGCATTGTCATAGCATTTCGAGGTTTTCAAATCGAGGTAGTGACCGGCGCCGTGTGAAATGAAACGAATTCGTCGTCTATAAGTCGTTCTATTTTGTGCGTGTAATAAAAACGAGGGAAAAAAGCAACAAAACAGAGAACGGATAAGGAAACGGAACTGGGATCGTCTCAAAAAACGCTCAACAAGCCAATGAACATCACTCAAGTTGATCTCAGCAGCTTTGATCAAATTAACACGATTGGCCAGTCGAAGAATACATGCCGAACGTGTCCAACCCGCAGACAGTGCAGCGTTAAGACCTGGCTCTACAGAAATCTGTCCAGGTAGTCGAACAGATACAACTAGCTAGGCGACTACCGCAGCAAGCAACAGTAACGACGACGATCAAGTACTATCCGGGGTTGTTCCACGGTGCGGCGGAGCTGAAGCAGTACGACAACAGCGGCTTTATCACAACAGGACGATGCTGCCGAGATAAAGCAGTATAGGAGAACCAGCCCGACGTTGTATTGTTACCAATAGTACGACGACAATAACGGGAGTTAGAAGATCACCACCTGGTGGAGCAACACACATTTGTTATTAATCGAACACCTTATTTATGTGATGATATAGATTATCGTGCTGTGCTGGTTATTCGGGGACCGCTTAGCGAGCAAAACAATTATCATCGTCACCATAATCAGCATCGTCATCATCATCACCGTCGTGGTCGTCGTCATCATAATCATTGCCATCGTCACCATTAGAGGCGAATAGGAGCAAATAAAGACATGACGCTTTACAGTGGACGGGCTATAACACCAATGGATTTTACACTATTACCAGCAGTGATAACAGCGAGAACGACGATATTCTAGTTACACCTCGATATTCGACTAAATTCTATATAGCAAGTATATTTATATACGGCATCGTTTGCCTGTTGTCTTAGCCAGTGCAGTCTGTGACGGTGAAGTCGAGACCCGTCGACGAGAGGAACGAAGACGAACTAGTAGTAATAACGTTGGGAAGAAGAAGACATTCACACGGCGGTCTATTTGCTATTGCTTCGATATCTGCCTCTACAACGCGCTGAACTAGTGAGACAGACAAACCCGGGGTTCTGAAGGCTGTTAGCGGGGGACGCCGATCGGGGCAGACAGCCAGCCAGGCGAGCACCGGCCAGTCAACCGACAGGCAAGCAGGCTGCAGCCCGCTTCTTTCGAAATATCCACCACCAACAAAAACCATCAAGGAACCAGGCAAGCAACCGGCATATCTCGCTGTTCGCTTGCAGGGAGAGTTTCGTCGCTGTAGCGGGACAATATCACTTGCACTAACTAGCGTTTAGACATTTGTTGGCACTCTGGTGGATCGACAAGAAATCTGCTCCGTCGAGCAAAATGGAGGAAATCGATTGACCAACGATGAGGTAAATAGATGAAGCTGGAAAAAAATATCACCAGCAGCAGCAGCAGAAACAACAATTTGTTCGGTTCCCCCTACCGGCGAAACCCCTCATCAAGGATATCTTATTAGCGTATACACCTCCTCCCCGATGTCTCATCTTCGCCGGCTAAATAAACCGACTTCTTTGTTAGATCGGATACAGCTACACAACGTCAGCAGCTAGGGCAAAAAAGGCACAAAAAAAGGAACGAAGGAAGCAAGCGAAAATCAGCTTTTATACATGCAAACGAGAACAGCAGCATCAGCCATAACTGTTCTACATCAAAAAATAAAAAAAAAATAGTCGAAAAAGTGTCGCACCGAAATCGGGCCGGCAATTTTCTTCCACCGCGTATCGTACAGCAAAGATTACGAGGAACTTCAGTCCATCTAGTGGTTGACTGCAGACCTGCTCATGTTATAGCAGTGCTCATTCTTTCAACAAAAATAGGGGAATAATCGTTTTCAGCTAAAGTGGGTCCCGATGCTACGCTTAAGAATAGTGAAAGCAAATAATCGCTTGTGAAAACATAAAAAAAGATTACTAGTTAGTTAGTTAGTTAGTTAGTTAGTGATAGGGGGTGTGTGATGGTGTTGAAATTTTTACTTCGTGTCTTCGGTGTATATTGAAATTGACGTGTGGAGTTTGTGCGAATTCTCTACTCACTGGATTCGATTGAATCAGATGAAATAATCTCGCCACTTGTGATTCTCCATCAACGCATCTGGGATACTACGGCGGAGGCGTACATCTAACGTGACCGTGTGTTAGTGCTGGTTGCCGGCGACTTTCGCCGGCTTAATCATTGCCGAATTGGATGTCCCCCCAGGAGCAGGTACCGCAGTGATGTACGCAAAAAACAAAACATCAACAGTCCCTTCGGACGCCCAAGCCAGGGAGAAGTAAGTACGATTTTATCCGTAGCAGAAATTTTTCCCAAGGGAGAAAAACATCTTTGAAGATAATAACATTCCGTATTAGAGATTAGCCTCTCGATTTCCGTAGGCTACAGTAAACGTTATTATTAGATTCATTTGCCATAGATTTGGTTGGTTTTCCTGATTCGTACTTCATGGCCATAACCTTAAAATCGTGCGCTGCTAAAGAATTTTCGAGCCGGCAAGTGAGACACGTGACGGTAAGACAAGGAATCACGGCCTGCTGTGCGCTTACATTATCTGCCCGTACATAGTGGCTGTAAAGTGTGTTTTACGAATATAAAAATACGTATGCAAACAGCCGATTAAGCGGTGTTATGGTTCGTGTTTCTCTCGCCATTTTTGTTCGGGACCACACGGCGACAACGATAAGTGCAATAATGCTAGAGAGAATATATCGGCTTGTTCATGTTCTATCCAAACTGTGCAGTAACGCTAAGCTCAAAGCATGATGCTGTTGAAGCCATTGCCAGGCTCCAGCATAAGTAGAGAGGTACAAAAATTCAGTGCCCATTCTGTCAATTCAATTACTAGCATCGTAACTTGTTGGCAAAGATGATCAATATGATTCGGGTGCACTTAGCTACTGTAAATAAATTAGTATCAAATTGAAGCGGTTTGCGGAGCTCGGTGGTTGCTCGTTAAAAATTTATCACACGGTAAGTCTTTTAGTGTTGAATAAACAAGCTAAAAAGTATTCCTTCCCTTACACGTCTTCCATACCTCTTCCTTTCATTTGCCTCTAGGTTCAAACCGGTTCAGGCCGGAAGGCCGCTTGTCAGGCGATTTCTCCTTTGATTCTTGTTCTTGGAGTACCAAACGGCACGCACATTCGCGTTACCCTTTGCTGCCCCCACAGTCCAGTCTTGTTGTTTTTCCGTGAAGGTCGACTCAAACACACGTTCACATTGGCAAACACGGCTAAGAATGTCGCGTTTACGTCGCGCGCCGCCTGCGACCTGTTTTTTTTTTTCTATTTTGAGGTCAGCCGCGTGGCGCGATCTCGGGCTAGAGACGCAGCGTGTTGACATGATCGATATTCGTCCCGGTGTGTGTGTGTGGGGGGGGGGGGGGGGGGGGATAATGAGAAAGAGCATTGCTATTGCCCCCGAGTTGAGAGCGCCATCATTAATATAGGTCGCTACTCAACGGACCGGTTTGTAGCTAGGTACACGGCTGTAGGCGGGTACCCGCGTTAAATAAACGTGGCGTATGAATTGTTTTCACGGTTCCAACCAACCACGTTGCTGAATAGTCCACGTGAGAGCAAAGTCGAACTGAGATTAGTAGTCACAGGTGTGAGGCTACCCAGAGATAATTGCATAGGTGTGCGTCGGTTACGGCAACTTTCCGTGCGGTGAGTGACGGATTATCTCGTTATCACACAGACACTACGCTGTAATCATAGGACCCATGAAGTCAATGAATGACTTTCCTAATGATATCCTTATGAAATATCTTTCCTACACACTTGATCAGTAGTTTATTTAGAACACTTTATTAATGACCTTTATAACATGATAATAATAATAATATTAATAATAACTACTAATGCATTTTCCAATACAATGATTTTTCTCGATATACAATTCTGACATTGATTCATCATACTTTTTTCTATTTTCTTTGCCTTTGCTTGGCATTCATAGTGAACACATAGCATTGTGATAATATGAGCAATAACAAAGATGGTTCTGCCAGTTCCCATAACTATAGTACATAACATATATGCAGTATATTGTGTCCAATATTTTGGCCAGTGAGATTCATTCACTTCTTCGTTTGTTGGCTATCCCCACCGGGTTGATTTACCACATATGAACGCCGCTTTACCACCGCCAGGCATTCACGGCACGGCCTTCTTGGTGGCTTCGGCACTCCCGCCTGTCGTCAGGCCGCTACGACATCGTCTGCCTCGGCATGGCGTTCGGTGCTTCGTTTGCCTGTTGTCCCAATAGCCATCCAGAAGCGGTAGCAGCGAACAGCGGCTGACCACTATACTTCTTATACCAGCAGCGCTGTCTCCTCTCTCGTGACGCACACGCGTCGACGTGCGCGTTTATCGCTCGCCTCGACGCGAGCCTCTACTGCTGTTGCTGCTGCTGCTGTCTGCTTCCATGTGTTCTATTATCGACCCTACAATCTGAAAGTGGTATACGACGCTAAGCGGTTGTGCTTATATAGATCAATGGCATGAGGTTGTTGCATGCTGATCGTTGCTGATGACGCGTACCATAAGATGAAGCTTTGCTCACATGCAATGTCGTTACGGTGTTATGTCAGTACAATCGTACAAGTGTGTTGCAAAAAAAAGACCTATTTTTTTGTAGCGTACATACGTGCGGTAGGTTTACCGTAGCTGCATATGATGTAGGTGGTATAGTCATTTATAGCGCCGATTCGGCGGTCATCTTGGGTGCGACCTCCTGCTTCCATGCTTGGAGACGTCTTTTACACCTTGCCGCACGGGTCCTCTTGGTGTTTCAAGGGGATGTTTTTTTTAAAAATTGGTTCTGTGCATGCCTACACTGTGGCTAACAAAGTGCCTAACTAATATAAAAAAGCTGTTTGTCATTTTTCTCTCCATTTTATATGCACGTGGCCGTAATCCTGGTTCGGCGTGAACGTGGCAAAAAGCCGTCGCTTAGGTGCAGCGCTATGGATCAAATAGGCAATACGGGGTTTGCATCGAAATTAATTCGCAAGCTCACCAGCTCCGTTAATCAGGGATTTACTACAGTCGGACAGCTTGCCAAACAACAATGGCAAGACATAACGTGTCGTTATATCCAGACGGTGGACGTTACAGCCATTCGACATGACCAGCATCTGGCTTCCTCTCGCTTGATCCCCCGCGACGGCATCAGCAGCCGCTGCAACAATAGCAAAAGCCAAGCTGGCGATGTTAGGGCCAATTGCGGTCTCAGTCAAAACGTACTAATATCTTTTAGCTTCGGTTGTTTCAGTGCTTCTTTGTAGTGCTTGTTGATGATAAAGCCACCTCACTGTCTCTGAACGCTAAAGCAGAGCTACTACTCTATCGCTAATACGCAACAGGCAGAGAAGCGTGGCAATGATCGAAGCTTCCGAACCGCATTGTGACCGATTCCTTTTGAGTACACCTTGGTGACCAACCAGAGTGCACGCACTGTACAGCTACAGTTGATTGGTGTCGAATCCAGTCGATTTCGATCCCATTCTTCGCTGGTTACTTCTAGCACCGGTTATCTTAACTATCGGTTTCATGCGTGGTGCAGCCACGACTCAAACTAATAAGAGTAGAAGTTCAAGCAGAAATTTACAGAAGGAATTGAGTGGTGCTAGCTGATAGTAGTAGGCGGCTTTGCGGTAACGCGTGGCGGAATTCTGCTCTTGGTCCACTGAGCTTTGCCGACAACAGCATCTTTACCAATAGTTGTACTAACAGTCTTTTTCTTTCTCTCTTATAATATATATATATATATATATATATGAGAGTATGAAAGAAATACAAGATATCTTAAAAAATTTAAACACTAATTTTCATTTACATACAATTAATATTTAATAATATAATAAATTCTGAACTTTTCTACAAATATGACTGTTGATTCAAAAACCCGGTTGCATCTACAAAGGTCGTCAGTTTTTGGTCGTAGCTTATATCTTTTAGGCATCCCCATAAGAAAAAGTCTATTCACGTAAGGCGTCAATTTGGGAAACATTGTATGGAACCCCTTCGTCCAATTCACTTGCTTAAAACATTTTTATCAAGACACACTGTTACATAATGATAATAGTGCGCCTGCGCACTATGAAGTTGTTATTTATGTTATATATATATATCATATATCAGCACTGTTAAATATAAAATTTACTATTTCCACCAAAGTACTGCTGAATGTGTAGTAAGACATTGTGCCAATGAATTAATCTGCACCGGTCATCGTTCTGTCAAAAAATAATAGTCCAATTACATTAGAGTGCATTTTTGAAGACATCACGTATATATATATACATATAAAGGCTGTTGTTGACTGGTGTTGGCGAGTACAAACGCCGTTGCCACTCTATTCAATAATTGACTAAGGTACTGTAGATAGCATTGCTACTAACCGAAGTCGCATTTACCCGTTACTACTTTCTAGCAGAATTTTTGTGAAACAGATTAGCAAGGCAAAGGGTGGTATTATGCAAGATGACATGCCAGTATTTCGTGTTAGAATGTCTCATTCACGTGCGCATTCATGAATGTATGTGCGGATAAAATCACGAAAAAACAACGATATTAGTGTTTCTCGTTTCGATCTGTCAATTCTTATATTGCACTGATTAAGCAAATTATTTATTTTCGATCATTAATTATACGATGGCTTGCGCGTTTTGTACTCTGCTCGGAGGGTCTCTATAATCAATTTTTGAACGTTTTTTTTATTTTTTTGAAATATTTTCCAGAAAATTACTAAATGTACTTTTAGACAAGTCGGCGAAAATGTATTCATTCTGTTGCAATCGCTACTATTCCAAATAGAGCCTTGCTACAGAGTAATGAACGAAAACTAAAGAATTGAGGCCGTTTGTTATGCTACAAATGGCAAGCGCTCGTCATCCCGTTTAGGTCGACCGCCTGTGAAAAGAGAATAACTACGATGACCGATGAGTTAAAACGTTATACTGGCACTGAACCAAGACGGCGTGGTCGTACAGTTTTGCGTTACGATCTCCTTACGGGTCTTTTACATTTTATACAGTTCGCGCAGTTCTTCCGGTTCAAATGTTTACGTGTTGGAAGTGCGCTTTCACGATAGTGTCGTAACCACAATCGTTGGCTTATTACCTAGCCAACCAGTCGATAAAACCAGTCTTCTACCAGAAGATTATCGGTGACCTCGATTCTGGTTTTTGCTGTTACAATCCATACAACAACTTATCGCTTTCCTATTCCCCTCGTTTCTCTCCATTCCCAGTCTTCTTATTGCGCTTAC